AAAGGTGTCCGTTTGGTTCTGCGAGCTCGCCAAGTCAATTAGCATCGGCCAAGAGCCTGCTAGCAAGGGGTTCGAACCTTGTGAACGCCTCCAGTTTGGTATGTTCCGAGTTCTTCCGTTCAAAAGGCTTATCATGAGATCCCTTGCCCCTGAGTTTGCATGTTGGTGTACCAAGAGCCTTTGACTTCGCTTTTAGCGACCTCGAAGAAGAAGGCAGATGTACCTTTTCGAATAGCAGTAACGGCTCCCGGCCTGCCAATGACTTCGAATCAAAACCGTTGTCACGGAAGAGAACAACGCCGTTATCACTAAGAAGCCGGTATCAAGGAAAGGCGCAAATCTCCATGCGACCATCACTTTAAGACATCGTACTATCGCGTATCAATCCTGGTACTTGAAGGTTCTGGTCTAATTTTCAGGGCACTCCATCATATTTGCGATGCGGCGGAACCTAACCCATTCGATGCAAGGCCGATGAGCGAGTGAGTGTATCATCGCATAGTCAAACAATAGTTCATGAAAAGCTCCTCGTAAAACATGTGAAAGCTTGACCTAATGGTCAGATATCAATACTCCGAGTTCCTTTGACAAAAATGAAAAGTGTCCGGTCAGATCAACTTCACCACGCAGTCTCTACCATTTTCGACTACATAGTCCTCTGTCCCATCGTCATCGCAAGCCAGTATCAATATCCCGATTCTTTCATACGTCCCATCGCCTGAATTCACTGAAGAATGATCGCCCGTTTTCTTTCCTTTCTTGCTTGGACCGCTGACGGCGAAAGTGTCCCCATCCTCATCCACCTTTCGAAGAACGAGAGAAAATACTTTGGTCGGCATTTTCTTATAGCCTATACCGTTCTTATTCCGAAGTTTGGGCTCTCTACACAGATGTAAGAGATAAATGGTGCTGCCAAGCGGCACACAACTTTTGCCCGGCGCCCAGAAATTGTAGTCAGGGGCTATTTCGAACAATGTGCTGCCGTGTAAGGCAAAATAGGTCTGTATCGGAGCGCCCACTTCCCTCTCCTCATCACACTCTAGGCGCGCTGTGATCATTGGGCCGAATAATACTATGTGGCCTAAGATGACCTCCATCGTTGGATCTGCTCCCGCAGACTCCGTTGAAGCTTCAATAACCACTGTTCTTTGCTTTTTCGAATCGGCTTCTTCCATAAACTTGGGTGCCAAGGTCGTACGTAGGTTGGAATAGTTGATTCGTGATGTCACAGATGCCCATGACCACGTCGGAGCTGTCCAAGCGTCCGGTCGAGGCAGAACGCTTTGGGTAGCCTGCCAGGCGAGATCGTCGAGCAAGCTGTCTTCCCAAACCCCGGCTAGGTACTTGTCTTTTCTGTACCTCTGCATATTCTTTACCACGCCTGCAATAGCCGGAAGGATATCATCCTGATAAGTGAGCCGCGTTTTTTTGTAATTTTCCACCGTACTGCGCCAATCCGGATACAGCTCTTTGGCCTCAGTCGCAGATGACAAGTTTCGTACATGAGCACCCTTGGTATGCGCCCATCTTGGCTCGGTTTCGTATATCGTGGTCTCTCCCATGCACTCGCAGGCGCAGACCTCGTTACACTCCCAAGCCATCTCTACATCACCAAGGTGTAGGATTCGGGGAGACAGGAGACGCTCCTGGAACACCCAACCACGGTTCAGCAAAGGGAAGTCCCCGAGGCTGTAGTTTGGTTCACCAGATGCGTCGGAGGAGAAGAAGTGCGGAATGGTCCGTCGCACGTTTGCATGCCATGTCTTCCCCTTGTCATCGCGATGCTCTACCCTTTTTGCTTTGTACTTATTTTCGCTTTGGGCGAAGTAGCTCTGGTGAGGGTTTGCGGATCTTGTTCCCGAAATGGTGACGTGAGCGCCTTGAAAAACTGATGCCATATGAGCTGCCTCTGCCCTCCAATCGTCCTTGTCGTCCTGAATGATACAGAGCGAGTCAATCCAGATGTAGCGAATTCCCAGCTTGCGAGTCAGTTTGATAGCATCGCGATACCCTTCAGGCAAAGATGACCAAGTGATCCGACGCATGTAGGAATGATATCGATCTTTAGTCAAGCAGATATTTATGGTGCCTCCCCAACAGTAGCTTAAGCAGACATATCTGTCGCAAATACCTTGGGTTTCGTGAAGTCGAATGTCACTATCAGTCGTCACTTGCGGACCCTCGGCATGACCATCGAAAGGGCCTAGCTCCAAAACGCGGGTTGGCATTCGACTATGGCCATCTACTGCCCTACATAATGAGTGTTTTGAAATGCAGTGCTCCAGGCGAGCTTGGAACCATCGAAAAGCTGCGTCGGAAGATGTGCCTCCAGATATGTGGTAAGCGAGGCCGATGGAGTCCCACGATGCCGGTTCCTCTATTGCGTTGGCATTAGGAAGGTTTCATTAATACATCCAGCTCTAGGAACTTGGCTCACCTTGAGTGCCGAAGAAGTTAAGTTCGGCGACAACTTCGTCTCGCAACTCCGCTGAGGGGACAAAGAGATTGCTTAGATCTAGATGACCACTCCTGACTACGATGACACCGTAGGCCCCTGGCATCGTCGCTGATCTCCTTTTCGTTCGGATAAACTGGCGTCCAGCACATCCTGAGTTCCAGTTCTCCATCACAGAGACTTTTGAGCTGGTGGCAATGTGCCTTGGTAGACATGCTCGCACACCAGCGTTGATGATGCTGCAAGACGGACACCCAGCTACGGCCCCCTTTTCGATATCCGTGATGGGAGAAAAGAACCCTTCGTCCATACCTCCGCAGGCCATGCAATTCCCAGTCTCGGGGTGGCGATGTATTTCAGCCTTTCGCATCCCTACCTTGGCGAAGAACGTGTCACATTTCTTCGTCAAGTTCAAGGCCACAGAGCCAGCTCGGATGAATGGGTTATTCGATTTCCCGTCGAAAAAATCGTCGTCTGAATCCGAGTCACTGTCTGAATCGGCCTGTTCCTGATATTGCAGCCAGTCGTTCTCTTCGCGGCTGACATTGTGATCGTCAGTATCGACTTGTAGTGTCAATCCCATTTTCTGTCGATTTTGTCTCCAGGTGAGTGAAGAAATAAGACGGATTTAACGTGCTGAAGATAAGGTCGTATGAGAAACACTGGGATCGATATATATAGCCGACGTGAAGCATCAGATGGAGGCATCCGAGAGCGAGAATCTTTCTTTTCAAGTCCCCCAAGTTCGCACTTCGTGGTACAGAACTTCGTAGGACAGAACTTCGTGGGACATGGCGCCAAGACATCAGGCGCGCGCTTCACCCCTGGAACGGTGGTGGCTGAGCGCAAAATCTAAAAACTGAGATGGCGATCACTGATAATGTCGGTCGCTCCACGGGCCTCAAGTTCAGCTGCAAGGACTTGGGCGAATCAGCAACAGCCACTTTTTACAAACGATCAGCGATTCATGACACGAGCACGCAGTCAAGAGTTCATTTAACCTGATTCTTATATACCATATCCTTTCTGATTGATATTTTTGGGGAAGCTTCCGCCAGCAAGACAATCCAAATTGACACTACGACTGATGATGACCACCCAGCGAAGAATCAAGCGCTTCGTCCGAGACGCGTTCAGCGCGAAGCAATCAGGATTATGGTGCCCCTTCATCTAGGTAAGGATCATGTTTGCCATCAAGTACCACCTCAGCAAAGGAAACATGACACGAAGCATTCATGGGTATATTTTACCCGTAGTGAAGAAATACATCAGTATGCTCTGTCTGTTTTTGTATATCAATAATGATCCGTCGTCTCCGTTGCTCGGAATTTGGTATGTAGCTTCAACCTCGACACTGCGAGAGGCAAGTAAGGGTCAGCCACAATGGGCGCATGTTCCACTCATTAGCAAAATAAGATAACCCAGGATGACACAGAAAGCGGGTACTGTAGATAAACACCAAGTCTTACTGAGTCTCATTTAAGGCTTGACGCCGGACGGACTCAATCATGTTACGCTCAGGAACCAGCAACCAACCCCGTGAGGTCGGTGGAATTTCGAGTGGGCAAGTCGGTACATACTCTATTGACTCCGGGCCTATTGTCCGTCGCCGACCGTTGGACAAAGGTCTCAGACCGATCATCCACGTTTCTTTTCGGGGCCATTACCCACTTCGTGCTCCACACGTATCCATGTGCGGGCTTGTTGGACCTGCGATGGCCCGCGCGGCCTTGCTCTGACTTAGTGCATGAGAAGACCTTGATGCGTGTTGCAACTTGCGACTCCAGTTGTGAAAGTGCTATACTACGCAGTCTCAAATCCGCGCGCGGCAGGAAGGATTCTAGAATCGGAATGTCGCGTCTGATCGTCTCGTCATCTCATGGGGCCTGGAGAGTTCGATCCGGCAGTCTCAAGTTGCGACTTGGAATGCAGCGACAAGGTACTTCAACCAGGTTCAGACATGCCAGTGATACCTGGACAACACGTGCTATCCATTATATCATGCTCAGTCGGCACTATAACAGACACTATTTAAATATGCAAATTTCTCAGGTATGGTTACAGCATTGGTCGATGGACGAGTCAGGGTCACCACCTCGGTTTACCTATCCGGCTAGCAGCGCAACCTTGTGCTTCCTCTGTCGGTCCACGCGATAGGCTTTGACCAGGGGTTCGTTTCGAGGAGATGGAGAATCCGTCCCAAAGGAGACCCCTCGTCGGGAGCGAGTCATCTTCCCACGCAATAAGACAGCATTTCTGTATAGATATCCGCGTCGGATGGCGAGCTGGAAAAGAAACCATCAACAGAGCCTCCCCACACGGGGCTGAGATTCCCTGCATCTGCACTGCGTCTGCAGCTTCCGGCGGCGGGGGGAAGCACGGAATTGCGAGACGGGGAGACGGCTGGGTGCGCATCAAAAACGTGGTGTCCCCTCGTCTGAGCCTAAGGAAATGTCAAGAGACCGAAGAAGCTCGGTCCCTTACGCTTTGGTTTCTTGTGAAATCGCCATGTACGGATGACGTCGCGGCGCAAGTGACTGTCGTGATGGTATTCCAACTCCCGGCCGCTGTCGATGCCGAAGTTGTCGCGGTGATATGCTACTCCTTCATCTGCTTCTTCTCTAATATCCTACTGGGATGGCTTCTTTGGACGCACAATGACCGGACAAGTTGTAGGTTGCCGACCCTCTTCTCTCTCCAGTGAACTCATTTCCTCGATTGTCTGACGGTCGGGGGCAAATCATCTTACACATTCTTCTTAGATATTGCCTGCATCTCCTACGCTACTCTCATCATCACGACGACAAGTATTTGCCAACAGTTCTACGACTACGCCTACTGGCGAGACATTTTGACGGAACAATTCTACTATGCGAGACAACACGCCGATAATGCGGAGGTGCAATACCACAAGGGATCCCAGGGCATCAAGCTCGTTCTCAGCTACGTTCGTACGTGCATCCTCTCTTTGTCGGGGGTCTCCTTAAGGTAGCCCGAGAGCGACCTATGGGCCTTGGTGACTGGCGCCGCTGACTGAACTGACCGGAACAACAGGAATCTTTGGATTCACCATTGCATCAACATTTGTCTTCTTCTTGTAGGCCTGATATCAACCCCCCCCCCCCCCGCCCCCAAACAAGAGGGATTGCGTATCTAACATGAAGAAAGTGCCTTATCCCTAGCCGCTAGTGTCTACGGATGGTTCGCGACAACACCGAGGACAACACACACCATTTCCATTGTCGGAAGAGTCTTGCCCATCATCCTCACCAGTATCACCGTCGGCTTGATGCACTCCCCGCCGGCCCAGGAGTCGTTCCTGGTGTACATGTTTGTTGCTAATACACAATTCGTCCTAAGCCTTTTCGGAAGCGCTGCACTGCTGCTCATGATCCTTTTGAAATACGTCCACTCTCGACGGAACCTCACAAGTTGGAACGTGCTCTACGGGAACCCGGACATGAACTCTTCGCTACCGAGCAGCAATAACGGCGGTGGCAGCATCAAGGCACGGTCCGTCTGGCTGGGCAGTGGCTCAAGCCGCGGTGGGCGAAGTCGAGCGTACAGCGGTGCTGGCACCAACAACACCTATGACAGATGGTTGGTGATCCGACTGTCGATCGCCTTCGCGGTGCTCTGGTCAGTCACACCACATCCCACCGGACGGCTGCGCACAAGAATGTTCTGACCTCACGCCGGACGAATGCTAACAGTTGGACATGAACATACAGCGTGTTTGAGTACACAAACGTGATACCGCGCATCGCCGCCGCAAGCCACACCATCGACACCGCCGACAACTTGGAGCCCGACCTCAGCGTGAGACGAGCACGTTCCAGTATCAGGGGATACGTTGCCGGCGTGACACCAAGCCTGGTCGCCTTTCTCGTCTTCGGGACGACTAAGACGTTTCAATGCAAGATTCACGACACCTTTATGCCAAAGGGACTCTCGAGGAGGAATAGGCAGAAACGAAACCTGTCCCTCTCTTTGAGAGACTCGGCCGCTACATCCCCGCCCCATCCACCACCTCGGCGCCCGCAGCAAGTAGACGAGTTCTCCCTCGCCGACATGAGCCCAAAGTTTCTTCAGAGCGGTTACTACAGCCCCCGGTTTCCTTCTGGCGGCAACGTTAGTCCAAGGCTACCGTACGGAAACCGTGCAAGCCCTGGACCGAGTTTCGGCACGCCGAGGGGTGTGCTCCCGCCTAGGGCTCACATCAACCATGATGGACAGTTTCTGAGCCAGGGGGTCGGCGCGCCCTATCCCCTGATACCCAGCGATAGTCCTAATCCGAGTCTGCAGTCAAAGTTTTCGGTATACGGGCGGCCTGAAGCAGGGGTCAAGGCTCTTCCTCGGACTCCATACGAATAGGGGCCGGCTGCAGCGTTGGAGGGGCGGAGGGCGTCTTTCAAGTTTTGTGGGCAGTACGACGGAGTTACAGGCGTTGAAATGGTGACAACATCACACAGATACCAGGCAAAGCATTGGCAGCTGAACTTCAGTAGCAAAGCAATTCATTTCTTCCGCTTTATGACCGCGTGTCCCTTATTGTACATATCTCCCAACCACGGAGCGCGCAAGGTGCTTCATGAATGATACAACGTCTAACGTAGTCTGGTGGAACATCGGGCAGATTTGAGCCAAAGGGTCACCCAGATAGTGGTGATACGAGGAGAGTTATGGGAGGTTGCAAACTGGTTCCTTGGCTTCTCGGAATAAAAAGCCTTTAGGGTCCCATACGGACCTGTTCATCCCGGCAGTAGTGACTCGAAGGCTATGAGGCGAAGGTGTTCCCCTGTCAGGTACATCTCCCTACATCATGTCGTGTTATATGTCGGGATTCACCTGCAAAGGCGCCAACTTTCTATTCTCGTGGAGGTAATATGGGACGCTAGATGGAATGTCTCTCACTGTGGGCTAAGCGTAGCTACAATTGCTTCTCATCTACCGGCCTAACGGAATCAAGATCCCATGCAGCTACAGATGTCCCGTTAAGGATGTATTTTTCGTTCCCTCTGGATTTCTGCTGTCTTCCGATGACCGATGAAGTCTAAAAGCTCATAGAACTGAGTCTGGATTACGCTTCCGTGTCGGACCCTGATAGTTCCAACTCATCCATATCCACCGCGAATCCCGCCCGTGACATCCAGTCGTCTTCGTCTGCCCTAGATAAGGGCAGCACAGTCTCCAGGCTCGTCTCGGATGACATCTGAACCCAACGCGGGGAGGGCGCATCGGGCTGGAAGTCTTGGCATACACGATACAGCTGCTCTGGGTTGAGCCGTTGTTTGTGGGACAGGATTATCTGCACAGCAGAGCGGACGAAATTGCGAAAGGCAGACGGCGTTTCGCCGCATCACCCATCTGGGCTTTAGTGAGTATCAGCCCCGTCTCCTAGATAGCGGACTGCTGGTTTGCTTCTGAGAAGAGTCAGGTATGGGACGAATCTCGGATGGGCTTCCATCAGCTCCGCCCAGACGACATCTGGAAGGATCATATCATCTGGACAGATGAAGTCCGGCTTATGGCCTCGCTGGCCATGGAGCGTTTCAACCATCAGCTTGAAACCACCGGCGGTGGTGCGATGCTCCTCCGAATAGACGGCTGAAAAGGTGAGCGTATGTAGAGCCAGAGGCAAAACGTCGAGATCACTTGCCGCCTTTTTACAAGTATAAATAAAAGCCAGATCAAGGGGCTCATTCCCGGCGCCTCGGAGTGTGTTGCTGTCAAAGTCGAGAATATAGCCGCCCTTGACGGTAACGTAATGATCGTAAGGTATATGATGTCGCGGACCTCCCGCGTAAAGTCGAAAAAGTGAACCATTGCAAGCAGGAACGGTGATGCGGCGAATGACAAGCTACATGTCAACTGTGTGGCTTCAAGTCCCGGACCTCTGGCTCAAGAGTTGGTGTAGCCTCAGTCTCGTTAGCACCTTGGAAGCTTGATCTGACATGTCCTTCCTCTACTAGGCTTATACACCATATCACAGGTGGAAAGACAATACGGAAACACTTCATTTAGCCCGAGGTAATATGGTAGATGCATTTTGACTCTTTGTTTGCCCCTTTGAGCTAAACTCTGCACCTTGACCTGTTCTCACCGAACCCGGCGCCGTACCAACTACATCCTACTGCAGCCTGCGTCGCCTCATGTCATACTTGACTTCGATGTAGCTTCAAAGCCCTGTTAGCCAGCATGTACATTTAAACCAGCAGACATCACCACCCATACTTAGTCGCAGTCGTCGCAGAAGGCGAGGCAGGCAAACTGGCAGCTGGCCCGCTGAAGAGACTCCTGTCTGCCGGGTCCATTGTAGGCTACACTTTCGTCAGAAATATGCACGTCTCAAGTTTTCCCCTGGAATACACTCACTATCGTGGCACTCGACAACACAGTCGTTGCAAGTGCCCTGGAACGGCGCTCCGGTACAGGCGGCAAGGACCGTGGGGGCCACCATGGCCGTGACGAAGAGGAGAGACTTGGTGAAGAGCATTTTGGGTGGTGTGCTTCAACAGTAATTGTAGCTTGATTGATCTAAAACCAAAGACGAGTCGCTTGCTGCTAGTAAAACGATGTCTTGAAGAGTCGGAATTCCCTCATATTTATACTCACCTCTACTCTGTCCGTCGGTCCCCTCAAGTCGACTATTCATTGCCTGGCAAAAGATCAGTCACATCACAATCAGCCCACGAGCTCAAGGTCATGCAAATTTCCCTCACCTCAAATTCAAAGGATCGCGCACATCCTCTTGGCACGCTCAGTAGTGCTCCTAAAATGGCCGTCTCTTGGCGTAAGATACAAAGTCATCCCATAGTACTGCAAATCTCTGCTCTGTTTGAACACATAATATTTCGGACCCACCCCTTGAGCCTCGCGATGGCGACGCATCACGACTGATCATCGAGATAAGATCACTATCCCGGTAGCTCTCACCTCGGGACCCGGGACTTCATGTGCAAGAGACCCAATCAACAGAGTCTATCGAGGATGAGAACTCTGCCGCCTAGCTGTATGGTATGTGGGCGGTCTTGGCGGTCAGCCGACCATTAATACCTAGTTGCTATCCACTGTCTCACTGCGAGCTAGACAAAAGATCAATCCTTCGACTTCAGGTATACAAAAGGTCCAACTCAAACCTCCCGCCAAGAAGGACTACCGCCAAAGTTCCTTGGAAGACCAGATAGCCTGTTCTGAGAACACGAATCACTCCTCAACTATAATAACAACATCGATTTCAAAGTCTCAATCATTCACAGTTCTGACAAGTAGCAAACAGCGTGGTCCTCTCTAGGAGTCTGCAAGTGATGCCTGGCATGAAGCCACTTGTCAGCCGTACTCCCATACAGAGACCACACATGATGTGTACCTCTCATATCCCCGTCACGCACCGTCTCTTGGCAGAATGGATGCGAAACTCAAGTATTGTGTCACCTACTGCCGTTGCAGTTCCTCTCCCTCTTCTATCGGCAGCCTACAAACCTTATCAGACGCCCCCCATCTTCGTCAGACCACTCTCATAAGTCACTAGCCAGTCCCCAGCAAGCTCAAGCTCGAGCTCAGGCAGCTGAATATCTAGGTTCCGCCTATTAATACCCCTCGCAAACAGCACCCTCGCATACGCCGGATCAAACACAAACACCGTCTCCCCCGTCACACTATTCCTCACTTCCGCCGTCGCTTCAACCTCGTCGATAGCGATGACCTCCTCCGGCCCTACCATCACAGTCGCCCACTCGATTTGCGTTTTTATGTGCTCCGCAACGCTGGCTTCGAACCGGGTGTCGATGAAGTACAAGCTGTTCTTGCCCGCCGCTGCGACGTAGGGGGTATCCGGCGCCACGATCTGCGGGCCGTGCCAGGCTTGGATGAAATTTGGGACGTAGGTGCCGCGGTATTCTTCTTGGAAGGTTGGAGTGCCCTCGCATGGTCGGAAGGGGCTGAAGATCATGGTTATGAGAGGTGCGCAGAGCATACTCGGTTGGTATGGGGTTTCTCGTGAGGTTTTGGGTGTCGGGGCTTGGACGATATCGGAGGATGCGTGATATTCTTACATATTGTCAGGCTGTATGCTGACTACCTTACATAGGAAACGCCGCATCGTTGTACGGCAAGGTCGGAAAATGGGCCGAATACGAAAAGTCGGTCGCTTCTCATCAGCCATCAGCCAACAGCCAACAGCCCACGACCAACACACGTTTTCGGATGAAGCGGCAAAGTTAGCACCTTTCCATCAACCTCCTTCCATCTTGGGCTACCTACTTTGATCTACCTCTGGAGAGACTCTGAGATTATTGGAGCCTTTAGAGGACGTAGGGACAGCAGATGACTTTAACGGTGGTCAGTGAGAACGTATGTCAACAGATGTCTCTCGCTGACACCGCCCGGAGGATATGAGGCAGGGCTTTTCAGCTTTGGTCAGAGTGAGAGCATCATCGAGATCACACTTGACGGCGACCTGAACCACCGATGACTCCACAGCGCGCAGGTATTCATGGCCGGTGACAGAGGACCGGGAGGTAACTTCATCTCCGTCTCGGAGCTCACGTCGATGACTGCGGAGGGTCCTGCTCATGTGTTACTTACCTTATGGTCTAGAACGTACGAATCTGTGCGTCCGTCGCATGCAATTCGGCCGCTGCGGAAGTGAGTCGCCGCGGCGGGGAACGACGGGAGTCGTCCGTGTCGTCGGACTTTAAGCCCCCAACTGCACGGTTGGAAAGTAGAAAGCAACGATAAGATATCAACGACTGTCTGAAACATTATAATACTGGATTGATGTCCTCGGAGATAGCAGTCGGACTCGTTCGTGGGGTGTTTCTCGGTCCGAATGGGTAGGGGGATCAGACGGATCCGACACGGCGTCGCGGTGGCCTCTCTCGCCAGACCAAGTCCACAATTGCCTGGGTGATTATGACAGTGGCTGAAAGGCAGAATAAAGGACTGAGCCTAGGTCCCAAAATCTAGGAATATTCGAGCAAAGATCCTCGAGATATCGCAGAGTCTCCGGCCTGGGCGGCGTGCACCTCTGGGCCCGAGCCGGCAGACCGAACGGATGCGATATGGACGGGAAAGTAGCGGCCTGCGACGTCGGACGGCCCCTACATGGCTGTAGTGGCGCCTCACTTTATGGTTGAATTGCGATCGTATGACCTGCCGCTCACCTTCAAGTGGCTGCTTCAACCCGTAAACTTTACACCTGGGGTGAGGGTGAGCAGGGTGAGCAGGGTGGATGTGGGGTTTGAAGAGTTCCTTTTCGGCCCAATATGAAGGCAGAAGATACTGAATTTAGAAAGGCGCCCTAATCAGTACATTAAAGTTGAACGTCGAATTACTTCATTAACTCATGAGAGATAACACCTAGTATTAAGCCTAGCTATGTCTGATTCTTATACCAACTCGATTCAGCTTCTCTCTGCATCTGTAATAAAGATACTGGATGGACAACCTCCGAGGGTAAGTCCAGGAGCTCTATGGCATGAGCATGAGAGTCGATGGTTGTAGTAATGAGAGGCTCTGGAATGACTTTGAGGTCATGCATAGTATTTTGATCGGCAACTCTCTGCCAATTGCGTATCACGCTAGGTTCCAGCTTCCAATCCCATGTTCCTTGCCACCCAATACAAGTATAACGAGACCTTGCGTGGTAGAAGAACTTAAAAGCTTCACCCTTCTGACCATTCCATATTACCATTGTATGTAGGTGTGGAATTGAAAGTGCAGTTATAGCAGCACGTCTTAAGAGATTCTCTATTATTTTGAGATTCTCTGTTTGGTTGAGTATCCTTGATGTAAGAGTTAGGAATCTCATGTGACTCCAAACCCAATCTTGTTGACATGACCGGAAGAAGTCCGAAGCTTCAATCATAAATGTAACGGAGAGCTGCTCGAGACTAAGACTCCTCTTGGCAAAAGCAGCACTGACCGTAGGTGATGTGACCCGGATTATATCAGGTGCGGTGTATGGTAAGGTAGGTCGAAACGAGGTAATATATTCTTCGTTGGTCTCTTCAAACACTGATATTCTCTTCAGTGCTTTTGGTAAATGGGAGTCGATAAGCTTTAGGTATTCTGTAGCGTAAGTCGTTAGTAGGTATAATATATAGAGTTAAATATTATATCTTACCGGAATCCCAAAGGAAATCTTGTGCCATCTTATCCCAACTTTGCCATGGCTCATAGATTAATGATTGTAATCGAGGAAGTTTATCGAATAGAGACCCTAGCACTCGAGGTTCAATCTGTCTTCGACATTGTCGGCGAAGTACAAATCGTGTTACCGCTTTGACTTGAGCGAGGCCTTCCTTGAATTTGAGAAAGAGAGGCTGAAATATTCGTAATAAAGCATTTCCATTGGGGGCATCGACTTGACGTCCATTCATCCAGCCATGTTGAACGTCGTGAAATGAATGCTTTGAGTCGAGGTGGGGTAACCGATGACCAGACCGGTCGAATTTCAAATCCTCATCCTCGCCAACACCTCCAAAATAGAGGTTCTTAAAGCAATGCTCCTTATCACTAGGAGACTGGACGCTCAACTCCAGTGTCAGCTCGGCTCCCTCTACCACTGGCCATCGAGACAAGATCGAAAAAAGCTTCGTAATTGCTCGTCTAGCCACGCGGCCATCTCCACAAGCCCATGAATAACTTTCAGTGGTCTGACAACTTCGACATGTATATGGCTTTAGTTCGATATTCAGCCAGATATGTCTAACAAGCTGTGCTTGTTTTACACTAATCATAGCTTCTATATCAGCTAAACAGGAAACTTGTAACTTCAGCTGGCGGAAGCTTTCCTTCTCTAGTATAGCCTGCCACTCCTTACAGACGGAAGCGCAGGCGCCCCAACCAGAGGTTTGTCGTGCAATAGTTTGAAGTATCATATGCCGCAGTTCCCATGGTAGAGAACCCCAAGTCGCTACATATGGCGGTATAGTGGTATGAGACTTGGAGCCCGACGTCAGAGCCGGCTGAATCGGCACCGTCATTAGGGATGTCAAGAAGGTACTAAAGGTTCAGCGGTTAGGCAATGAAAACATCGACTGAATGAAATACGGAAAAGGAAATACCTTGAGAAGTAAACCTGCCGTAGATAATAAGTGAATATGTTATCGAATTTGATGTCTTGACTTGTTTTGTCAAGTTTACGTGTGAAGGTGTGAGATTAAGCAAGTCACTGCTTGTCAGATGCGAGTTTAAATACTGCCATTATCAATCTTGATAGTTAGAAACCATCTTCTACCCAGGTCGACGAAAAGCTAGAGTTTATAGTTTTCAGGTTACTGTTATGGATTGGCAGAAGAGAGTACTTAATTTACGGGGTTCGAAGATTACAGGGTTGCCCAAACACCTTTTGAGGGCAGGGCACTACTTACTTATGTGCATTAATTGTTTATGGACTTTCAAACAAATGGAATGACATATACAGCAATTATCATGTGGTTTTCGTGGTTGATATTGGCATCTCTAGCCCAAGTCGGCAGGAGATCGGACACATCCGACCGGCGACGTGGTAGTCGACGTCGTCAGGCTTCATGTCCTCATATGGGTCGCTCTAGCATTAGTTGAAGAGCAAAAAGACCAGGAGTGTTGAATTTCCCCCAAATACATCCAAGGTCAGTATCAATTCTCTCAAATGAGCTGTGATGTTGTCTCACGGCTGCATTCCTGTCGGCACGGATCGGTAGGAGATGGGACGGACCCGACACGGGGAAGCGGGGCCGGTCGGCGGACGGAGGCAGGCCGACCATCGACTGGAATTCACGAAGTAAAGATGACACGAGCCAAGCTCAACTAGTCCCAGCCTTCTTATTATCCGGCCATCCAAAATCCTTCGAATATTCGGTCGTGACAGACTCATCACATCTTACCCAGCACCTCCACAGCTAGCTGTTCGACTTGCCAAGGTCATTTACAACCCCTCTGAAGACGCCGCCGCCTCCTCGCCAGCCACAACTACGATGCCATCCCACGATGCACAGATCGGCGAACCTTCGCGGCGAATCGTACCGAGGTCTCGATACATCCGGCCAGCTGAATGATTCTTGGCAGCGCAAAGAGTACCCCTCCCCCGAAAGCAACCGCCGTCACCACTGCAAGGGGAGCGATCTTCCCAAGAGACCTCATCGCACGGCGTCCCACAATCACCACAGTCCGATACGTGCGAAAGATAATCAAGTATCGCGAGATTTATATCCGGCGTCACTCTCCTAGCCCATATCTGTCACGGTCAATGTTGTGATGCATCCCAAACTGGAAGTGTCATGTCAATCCTCCCTTCGGGGCACAAGCGCAACTGAGACACGAGGCTAACCCCCCTCAGTCCAGCCAGTCCTCAAAGGCTCAGCCCATCCTTGCGGGGGAATGTTCGTGGAGACAAATCTACCCCGTACTCCCACTTGCTGGTGTTCCCCGAACCCCAAAAGTGGTAGACTGTCGTGGCGGTGGTAGTTGTCCCACCGCGGACTGGAATTCGGGATAGATGAGGCACCAAGACAACCCATCTGACCGCGTTCCAGACGACAGTCATGTCAATTTCATACATCAACAACCAACGGTCCGCCGCTTTGCAAACTCTGATGTTTTCTTCTTCCTGGCTGCTCACTCTCTGGTTCTCCAAAGTTCTCAGCCCGTCATACGGTACACGCGTAGACTGTAGACAGCAGACGTCCATCCTCGCAAACCTCACCCAAGATACAACACAAGATATCAATCATACCCTCACCAATAGCCTCACGATGCGCATCAACACCCTCCTCGCCATCCTCGGCACAACAGCCCTCGCCGCCGCAGATGCACCAGCCGTAACACCCTTCCTCACACAACCAGGATCCCAACCAACAACCCTCGTCCACCAACCATCCTCCTCAGCCGCCCCAGCAGTCCCCTTACCACCAGCATCCTCCGCTGGATCTCCCCTCTCTTCGTTGCCGCCATCTCCACCGTCATCAAACTCCTCCTCCGCCGCCGCCGGCGCAGCAACCCTCTCAACGACAACAACATCCCGCCCCGGCGGAACCCGCACAATCTCCCTCGCTCCCGTAAAGACAAACATCTACCAAGAGTGCGGCGGCCTCCGACCCACGCCCAACCCTTGCCCGGCCAGCTTCGAGTGCATCGACGACCCCTTCCGCAAGGGCTGCGGCCTGGCGTGCGATCAGACCGGTATCTGCGTCGTGCCCATCATGTGCGGCGGCATCGCGGCCATCAAGTGCCCCGCAGGGAAGTGGTGCGTTGATGACCCAAGGGACGACTGTCACCCGCTTCAGGGGGGTGCCGACTGTGCTGGGCTTTGTGTTTGATTCAATGGGGCAGAGAAGGAGACAGGTATGGAGGGACGAAGTGAGAGATGGGATACCTAATACTTTGAGAGATTGTCGAATTGTCACCTGGGAAGGCGTTGTTGGAAAACTGCTCTTGCAATCGTAACATTTCCTTTGTAATTGTTTCCTTATCATGAGGTAGTGGGTTATAATTTAATTCATACAATCCTTTCACTACTGTCCGTCTCCAAAAGTTTTCCTGACACAAGAGATCTTACGGGAAGGCTCGGTGAGTTCGACGAGGCCCGTGATGCTTTCCCACAGACCTTCGGTGAGGACGGGAGGAGGTGAGAGGAAGTCGAGACCCGACAGGTTGGCAGAGACAAGAAGGAAACACCAAGGTCGACTGCCATCCCTCCAGGTTGTGTGTCACGGAAACCGCCATGTCTCCCAAGGTTTCCTGCCGTCCCGTGTCGACAGAGGTTCTCGCAGACTGGCACCCATGGACCAAACCTTCCGTCTTGCCAAGGGCATCGAGTCATCTCCGTTGACCCAACTCGCTGCCATATCAACTTCGTCTTCAGTTTGCCTGTTCTCGGCGCAACGGATCATCAGCAACAACGCATCAATACCATTCCACTTAGACCACAGACCACTTACCGCCAAAATGTGCATCCAAACGACATATCACTACGACTGCGGTCACACAAGGGACTTCACGCCAGTCTGCGAACGCGCCTTTGACGACTGCCCGTTCGAAATCACCCCAACGAAATGCGCAAATCCTACTCTTGTCGAAAAAACAGTCCAGGATGTCTGTTCTGCCATCGCGTGCAAGTACGAGCAATGGGACAAGCGATGGATCTGCCATAAGTGCGATATGGATAACGAGAACTCCATGACGTGCGAGGGTCAAGGTTGTGAACACGGTTTCTGCGATGGATGCCATCCTTGTGAGTTTCTTCTCAAAAGGGATATGGAGACGCGAGCTGACTTTGTTCGATCAGGGGAGTCTTCCTTGGCGAATATACCACACAGAAATCCCGAGGAGATGGAACTGGCGGAGCTTCGAGCCATGGGGCGCGAGAAAGACAAACAAACTCAGCCAACTCTTCAGTCCCCATCGTCTTTTCAGTCTCTGTCAACTGTCGAGACTCTGTCAACTCAACTGACTACACCAACACAACTGACTACACCAACTCAACTGACTGAACCAACCCAACAGGCTGAGCCTGCTAAACGCCCCGAGAACACAAAACCGCCAAAGTTCCGCTGCAAGGGTTGCGCCGTCTGCATAGTCCCTAACGCGCCATTGAGACCGCGACAACCTAAATCAACGGCGCAACAACCCAGACCTCCCAAGGTTCCGGTCTACGACTCCGGGGCGGGAGACTGGGTCCGACGGCCTGACAGAAGAGGTAGAACAAGCCTTAAAAGGGAAGACACAAGTACCATGGGAGTCGGTGGAAGACAGTCAAAGCTATTGGAAATGGTTGAAGAATTGAATGGTCAAAACTGAAATGTCAAAGGAGGTAGATTAGACTAGGCCAGGCAAAAAAGGCCAGCCTTTCTATTCGCGTCTGGGGGGGTTTTCTCTCAAAAGTCTATCGGTCATGGCTCTATAGCGGTAGTAAAGTAAATACGCAAAAGAAGAAAGAGAACACAAGTAACAATCAAGTAAATGGTTTATTTACCGCCTGAAAAGGACACCACGGCCCACTTGCCGCTCCAAGCCCACTTCCTCGAGCCAGAATCACCGCCGCCGCCCTCGGTAGCGAGCAGCTTCTCGTCCTCGCCAGGCTGGAGACCGACGACTACGTCGGCCTTGCAGGTGCGGAGGGCTAGGATGTTGAGGCCCGATCCGGGGCCGAGGTTCTTGAGGGCTTCCGTGAAGGGTGTGGCAGCATCCCAGTCGGCCTAGTTGCGAATTAGCATCATCGCTACTCTGTTCATCATAATGTGGTACTTACATCACCAGTCAGCTTGCGGTAGTTGAGGTCGCCCTTGAAAATGACAACCTCGCTGGCCTTGAGGTCCTCGTACAGCTCCTTGGCCTCCTCGGGCAATTGCCAAAAGGGACCGGGGTGCGTCCAGTAGCGATTGGGGCGGAGGATAAGCTGTCCCTCGGCATGGAACTGGCTCCACTCCTGGAAGAGGAATGCCAGGCTCTCCGAGTCCGCAGCCGAAAGAGGCTCGGGGGTCTTGCCTTGCAGCTCCTCTTCTTCGGAGGGTGTCTCGTAGAAGCGCTTAGGGCTCGCAATGGCACTGAGGAGCTGGGCAAAGTCGCCAGGGAGCACGTCGGACACGAACCACGGGATGGACTTGGGGTGCAGGACGACGTTGGTCGCCAGGCCGGCGGACAAAAGGTATCCAGCGAGAATGAGGTCGACGTAGAGCTCGAATCCGGCGTTGTCGAGCACGATATCGACGCGGCGCTCAGCCTTGCCCTCGGCCTTGGCCTTCTTCAGGAGCTCGTAGACGGCGGGGAGGTCGTTGACAACAATGTTCTTCTCGGACGCCTTGCGGGCCTCGGAGCCTTGCAGCTTCTGAATGTCTTCGTACGTCAAGCTCGTCAGGAGCGACAAGTCGGTGGCGTTACCCCAGAGGCAGATTTCGCACATTTCGGTGAAGAGCAGCTTCTCGGCGGCCTCGTCCTGGGCGGCGCCCTTGTTCTTGTGGAGCTGCTCGACGAGCTCCTTGTACTTTGACGCCAACTCGACCACGGCAGGGCGGGAGGATCTGAATGTGCTCATCTTTTGGCGGGCAAAGACGTCGTAGTTCTTCCAGTGGGTGGACCGGGCAAAGTGCGTGCTGATGCGTCTATTGCTGTGTCAGCCCGTATTCCCTCTAGACGTGAGATGCTTAGCTTACCTGAAGAGGTAGCACTCGGTGTAGAGCCACGGCACGTTCAGCCATGTGGGAGAGCCGAGCTTCTTGAGCTCCTCGTTGTAGATGGTGACGTCGGGGTATCCATCATCCTCGATCGGTCTGGTATAGTATGGTCAGCAACAGCGAGGCTGAGACTTTTGAGAGAGAGCCGTACGTCAATGCCCGGTCGTGCTGAACCTCGTATTTGATCTTGGCAATCTCCTCAATGATCTTCTTGCCCTCGGCTTCCTTCTCGGCGTCCTTGGTCTGGGTGACGGATCGGTAGAGGTCGTCGATAGCTTGGGTCTGTAGGGTAGCTGTCAGCAAGACGTGAACTGTCAAGAAGGATGACACAGGCGTACAATGATGACGGGCCAACGCTCGCGAGCAGTGACCCAGCCAAAGGAGGTCTTATCGCCGGTCGAGTAGGGAGCTGTCAATTGCGTGGTGATTAGCTTGGTGCGAGGGGTTTGTGGTGATGGCGGGGAACCATACCAGGCATCTTGGGGTCTGAAGGAGGGAATTGGGGATCTAGAGAGTCGAGCAGATGTTGACGTTGACCAAGAAGAGAGAAAGCAATCCAATTCAGGAACCCGGAGAGAAGGGAAAAGCAGCGAGATTACCAGATTATCTCGAGATATTTGTTTGCGACGACGTGTCTCATCTTTTTTTTTGGTTCTGGGTGCCAAAACGTCGACCGCCGAGTTTCTGTGACAAAACGGCAGCAGCTCCCCGCCATGGTGGGGCAGGGGGCTGTGTGCACGGTCCTTCTTTTCAAGGTTAGCGCGGGGCACATCCCCGATACAGAAATATCGAGCGAAATGACGTAAGCCCCTGGTTTCGGATAAATGTATTCATCTACCCATATCAGTCACTTAAAGGCAGCTAATTGCTTATTCATCACATCCAGCTCCTGTTCACTCATCATCGTTGTTCATTCTCATCTCTCATCTCACAAATCTCATCATCATCATGACTATTTGTTCATCATGTTTGGCTATATTGCTTAAAGCATCCAAGTAAAGTACCGCAAACTTCCCGCTCAAGCTCAATCATCCGACAAACTCTCCCGAAAATAGACATGGCAGGTGCCACGGCACGTGCCGCCCCTCGGTTTGCCCCCGTCGAGAATTGTCGCGGCCGTTTCAGTCCTTGGTTCCAGACTCTTCAAAATGGACCTTGTACGCGCCATTATAAGAGCTCATACCTTACTTCAAGCCGAGTTATGATTCAGGTGATAGAAAACTCACTATAGTCCGCATTGGCGATCGACATGTCAGGGCCCAAGATGGCCTCCTGTGAAATGGTCCGACACCAGCACATTGGAGAAAGAGGCACCATCTACATGATTTTTACTAACTGGACTAGGTAGAGCATCTTTGATATTCTTGATACTCAGAATGTATCGAAGCACAAATATTGACTTTGTAGTTGATTGCACTGGAGTAGCCAGGCCCAAGAGCCGAGCCTAGAGATAGGATCATCCAGTCAGTAACATTTCGAAGATGACAACTCTACAATCGTCAAGTTTATCAATTCGCCCATTATAAATTCGTCCTTCCAACGAGTTTGCTTTCAGGCTGCCTGGATTTGCGTTTCTCGGAAGGAAGTAACTCTACCGTCGTCATACTCAAGTTATACTGCTAGTAGCCGCTCTCTTTCATGATCTCAAGTTGTGACAAAGGTAGACCAAGTTTCCCGGTCTATTCAAAGCCTCAGATATCCCTGGCTTTGAGAGCAGAAAACTAATCAAAAAATAACGCTGTAAAACAGCATGTCGTGGAATACTCATGTTTGCCAAATGCCATGATCGCCTGGCAGTTATGGGTTGACAATGTCAACTAATCAATCATGCCCAACCCCACAGAACCCCAGAATTTACCCCGGCCCCTCCGGACATCTCTCCAGCCTCAAAGTGAGTATTGCGGGGGGAATGCGCCTCGTACTCCCTGTCCCATGGGCTTTCTATGTACGTGTTTACTATGCTGCATGTTGCGTCTAGAGCCAAGTCTTGTGTGGCTGTTCCTACGGGACTACCCGCCTTTGAAGGTTACCTTGCATGAACAATGTCCCGTACCATCTTCAGCTCAACTGCCGTCGATGGATCCACGGAGTCACAAGTATACTCATCCTTGGGGGGCTGATGGCCCAGCATTGCGGTTCATCCACGTGTCAAACGCACTTCGGATGGCTGCCGATCTACACGTCCACTTTGCCGTAACCGTAGGATCAACCATCGCCGGAGATCACTTCTCTAATCTGATGTTGGGATTGAGAAAGTATAACTTCCTACTATATGTTTCCAGTTCGTCTGCGTGGTTTCTGAACAGTGCTCGACCAACTCCAGTCTTTAAAATCATGGTAGTTGAGAATGTACGAGCTGAACACCATTTCAAGATATTTTCCCACTCATATGTCACTCAAACGTCACAATATTCGACGATTTTCGCACCTGTTCTTTGATCAAGTAATTAGATGTGCCAAAATCGTGCCACCGTGGCATCCGGCGCAGGAGGACTTTGATCGAGTCTGCACCCCTTCGACAAAACCACTGTACCCTCCAGTAGAACTTTCCCCTACAACGTCTAGCTGTAGAGGCTGGACAGTATACCAAGCGCAAGACCTTCAATCTTCTGGGACCCCGTAGTAGTGATCTGGCGATGGCAAAGAGCCAGCATGTGAACATGTGAAGTGAAGCAGTCACAAACCTCAACATAAAGTTGGCATGAGTCCAGAGGGCTGAGGGAATGCATCTGGCAAGTTGCAATGCATGCTGGCACCATCGGTTGCATCTACGCATTATGTAAGAGATAGCCGAGAACACGATGCATCGAGTCAGGAACAGGTCGTCAAGTCCGCTATTACCTCTCCAACACCTCCCAAGAGACTCGGAAACCGACATCGTGGGGCGATTAGTATTGCTCTTCCGACTTTGCCCGCAGGTGGGAAACGGGTCTTTTTGTGCTCCCCACCCGTAATGCCAGGATCTCATGCGCCAACCACGAAGCATCAATGCCGATGTGAAGCGGTGACGAGTCTTTCGCAAAGGGAAAATTTGATGCCATCATGGGATCATGAACAGACGTTTTGCTCAGTATCACAACTATGGAGCTCACCTCATTAGCGCCGGCAAGGGAAGCCCACTACCCAAGCATCGGCGGAGAGAACACCGAGCTTTCACTCTTTGCGATTCAATGACGCAAACTTCATCGGTCAAAGAGAACAAAAGTTTGAGCCTCTCGGCCGGGCCCTGCCGACACGAAAATTCCACTGGACGAACGCATTGCAGAAGCGAATTCACCTGCAAAGGATCGCCTGCAGAAAATTCTGCTGCCTTTTGATTACAGGGACCACTCAGAAACCAACCCCGCGGGCAACGAGGTCGAGCACACGCGAACTAGCCTGCTAGGTAACGTTGCTGTGGGACTTCTTAGTCAAGCAGCAGCATGGCGCCGGGGATGGCATGACTCCTGACGTACAAGAGCCCGGGCTCAATAACCATAATAGCAAAGTCTGGACGCGTCGAGGAGTGGGCGAGTTGAGTAATAGCGCGGTCCCGGCATCGCTGCCAAGGGTGCGGCTCAATTTGACTTTTCTTTGGGGCTTCGAACGAATATCCCGGTATGAGTCCCGGTACGAGGGATGTTTTCTCATCCGGTAACCGTCAAATTAACGTGGCGGCCATGTGGGTGGTCCATTGGAAACTTGAAAGACAAGCAAAGTTCTGTTATTGTACATAGGTTAACCGATGTATCTGCATGTCGACCAATTGTTGTCGTCGACTCGACGGCCTCTTCTCGGTGCTATTGCTGACAAGATGGGGGATTTTCCCCTCACAATCCTCACTCGAGTCTGGGCCAGCGGGATCCCCAGAGAAGTCAAAACATTCCCCACGGGAAAAACACCTTAGTCACGAACACTTCTGCCCTCTGAGCACTCTGAGCACTCTGCCGCCGGCGGTGGGGAAGTGGTAAAGATTTCTACTTTGAATCCACCCAGACCAACTCGGCCAACTTCCGCTTCTGGCGTTAGCTCCGGGACTTTTCCCCGACGTTACACGCCTTGGCCTTTCTTTTCCCGTAATTCTTTTTTACTCTGTATCTTTTTTTATTTTATTTTTTACGACTGGGAACCCGCTGCGGGGGTGGACCAAATCGTGTGATGTGCCAGACTTCTCTGTGTGCGGGTGGGCGGGGTATGAACTCCATGAACCAGGGGGTCAAGGTGGAAACAAGACGGAGGACTCCGCTGCTTGTTCCGCCAGCGACTTGAGAAGCCAAACGGTTTATGAAGGGGTTGGAGTGTTGGAGATGCTTCGGGTTCGGAACCCTTGGGCGAATGCCAGCAGATGCTAAACCTGGAGCGAGGTGATCATCAGGCAAAGAGCAAGCGGCAGCAGAACGCGTATTTGGAGCCGACGTCCGGATCTGGGAACCATAAGCACCCAGCCATGTCGGTCAGTACTCAGATCCCACCACGCTGATCTGACATACCCCGGATTTCCAGCAACTGAGAATCTCACATGTACACGCAACAGAAGAAGCAACACATCTGGACCTTTGCAGATGAGGCCTCATTGGGTTCAAACATGTCAATGATGAACTGATGGAGCTAGCAATAACATTGACACGAGGGACGACCCAAGAACCTAGCCCCATGGGACCCATCTCGTTCGACTCTGCGGGACGGTCTACACAGAGTCGCATCAAAACTTGACACATCCTGTCCCCATCTGGCAAAAGTTGCCCCATCGCCAAAGGACGTCTCCCTGGTCAATTACCCCCCAGGAAGGCAGTCCTTAGCGTCGGTGCTCCCAAGAATAAGTACAGACGATGGCCCGGCCTGTTGGGTGAAGTGATCGTCTTATTATTCCCCGGCTCCTGCTTCCCGTGATTGTCACTCGGTTGTCTTGCGTTACGAGGTCAATTCTTCTGCTCGTCAATCGCCTCTCGCAATCATGGCCGTCCAAGCAGCCACCGCCGCCGAGGCGCGAACGCAGCTTGCCTACCAGAACAGATGGAAGTCACTGGCAAACAACCCCAAGATTCTCGTCATTGCCCTTTTTGCTTCCTTTGGAGGTTTCGAGTATGGATACCAGCAGGGTATGTCTTTTGTTCCCCAGTCTCGATAGTGACCACTCCGTTGCTAACCTTACCGTCCTCCTAGGTGTCCTCGGACAATCCCTCGTCATGACGCGCTTCAAGGACAACTTCCCTTCCGTTGTCAACTCGTCCAGCGCCACGGGTTGGTTGACTTCCATCCTCCAGCTCGGTGGTATCCTGGGTTCCGTCAGCGCCGGTGTCTTTGGCGAGGTCTTCTCCCGCAAGTACACCATGTTCTCCGCCTGCCTCTGGGTCGTCCTGGGAAGTTACCTCTATACCGGCGCAAGCTACCACAAGCCCGAGCTCCTTTACGCCGGCCGTTTCTTCACCGGTCTTGGTGTTGGCACCTTTAGCGGTGTCGGGTAAGTCTGCCGTCTGCCAATAAGCCAAGTCAACGACATGGTGCTAATTATCTCTCAGTCCCCTGTACAACGCCGAGCTCGCCGCCCCCGAAATGCGAGGCTTCATCGTCTCCTTTTACCAATTCGCAACCATTCTCGGAATCATGCTTTCCTTCTGGATCGGATACGGCAGCAACTACATCGGCGGCATCGGCGAAGGCCAATCTGACCTCGCCTGGAGACTCCCCTCCTACATCCAGGGTGTCCCCGCCGCCCTCCTCGCCCTAGGCATCTGGTGGCTACCCTTCTCCCCCCGCTGGCTCGTCAAGCAGGGTCGCGACGAGGAGGCCGTCAAGACCATCGCCTACCTCCGCAAGCTTCCCGAGGACAGCGAGCTCGTCCAGGTTGAGTTCAAGGAGATCAAGGCCGAGGCCCTCTTTGAGCAGCGTTCCTTCCAGAAGGCGTTCCCCCAGTTGGCTGAGAAGGAGAAGACGAGCGTTTGGATGCGTGAGGTTGCGCAGTACTGGCGTATTCTCCGCTCCTGGGACCACTTCAAGCGTGTTGCGTATGCTTGGCTAGTCATGTTCTGGCAACAGTGAGTCTACCATGAACTTTTCTAGTCTCTGCAACCGAACTAATCATCATGTTTTCTTAGGTGGTCTGGTATCGACGCCATCATCTACTACGCCAGCAACGTCTTCCAGAGCCTCGGTCTCACCGGCGGCACGACTGCTCTCTTGGCCACTGGTGTCACCGGTGTTGTCTTCTTCATCAGCACCCTCCCCGCCATGGCCATCATCGACAAGGTCGGCAGAAAGCCCATCCTGATTGTTGGCTCCATCGTCATGTTGATCTCCATGGTTATCCCCGGCATCATTGTTGCCAAGTTCAGCCACGACTGGCCGGGCCATCCTGTTGAGGGATGGGTTGCCGTCGCCTTCATCTGGATTTACAGTACGTTGAGCCTTTCTGTCTCCAGTCGTGATCTCTTAAGAACTCAGTATGCTAACTTTACATCTCAGTTGCCGGTTTCGGAGCTTCGTGGGGTCCCGTCTCATGGACCCTTGTTTCCGAGATCTTCCCCCTCTCCATCCGTGCCAAGGGTGCTTCCATCGGCGCATCAAGCAACTGGGTATGTACTCCAAGCCTCCTTCTATCTAGACATTGACATCCGACTAACATCAAGCTACTAGCTCAACAACTTCGCCGTCGCCTTCTACGTTCCCTCCATGCTCGAGAGCTGGAAGTGGGGAACCTACATCTTCTTCGCCGTCTTCCTTGGCGCCAGCATCATCTGGGTGCACTTCGCCCTGCCCGAGACCAAGGGCGCCACCCTCGAGGAGATGGACCGTGTCTTTGGCAGCAACGCGGGTGCCGAGGACAGCGTTTTGCTCGAGCAGGCTAGACGGGACGTCGGCCTGACTGAGGACTTGGAGGACAGCGCTATCCACGCGGAGAAGAAGGGGCTACACGAGTCTCACCACGAGTCTGCTTAGAGTACCTATTGTCCAGAACCGTGCTCGCTGACGAGCTTGATACCCACACTCCTGTGAGACCGCATGTTGTGTAGTCACGATATTAGTAATGAAATGAACGTTCTAGAGGAGTATGGATATTCTCAAAATCCACCACCTAGAACGAGGTGTGCTTCTCATTCAGCCTCTATATCTCTGTCAAAAATTGTCATCAGAACGGGTTGGTAGTCAATTACTTCGCACTCATTACATTTCGCTCATATGCGATTTGCTAGACAGTCCATCTCTCATCCCGTTGTCATCGTCCTACAACTTTGGCGCGATGTTAATGCCCAAATCCTTTGCAATAATATCCGCCGCCTTCTCACCAACCACGAACGCCGTGTTATTCGTGTTGGCACCCACGTTCTCAGGCACAATACTCAAATCAACAACCTTGAGGCCCTCAACACCATACACACTCAACGAAGAATCAACAACTCCCCCGTCATCCCGCGGCGCCATCTTGGTCGTTCCAAGCGAATGCCATGTCGTGTTGATATTCTCTCTCAAAAACTGCTCAATCGCCTTGTCATCCTCCTTGGAGTACTCAATCGGCTTGACATTCTTATACGCGTCCGCCGAGACGGAGTCCACGAGGGCGGCCTTGGAGTCCGCAGCAAAGGCGGGATGTCCGCCAGCGACTTCGCCGCGGTAGAGGGCTGTGCGGCGGGCGACCTCGCGCGAGTGCTTGTAGGCCCAGATCTGCTTCTTGAGGTCCAGGTCATCGGGGTCGCTGAAGAAGCCGGTTTCGAAGTCGAGGGGATCCGTTAGGGCGGGGCCGGTGATGTGAATGCTGCCGCGGGAGTAGGGGTATGCCGTGTAGTTTGCGACTGTCGTGTATTGGCCTTGCGGGATGGCGGCGTGGTCACCCAGGAACCTGTAGATGTTAGTTTCGTTGTACTTATTTGGGACAGTGAGATATGTAGCATGGTGTACATACCCGTGAAGGAAACCAGTAAGCATCACTGGTCTGTTGGGGTCGTTCTTGAAGTCCTTCTCCCATGCCTTTTCGAACTCGGGACCCAGCTTCTTCACCTCTTCCTCGGTGGGCCGGATCTTGCTGACGACATCGACACCGTTCCAGCCAAGCATCTTGTCCTTCTTGGCAATCGCATCCTCGTGGCTTATGCGCCCGCTAAAGATGTTATCTAGCGTCTCCTCAGGCTTCAAGGCTGTCTTGTAGGGCATCAAAACCAGGTTGTGATCTTGATAGTTGCTTCCCACGCCGGGCAGGTCCGCCACAACGGGAACGCCAACCTTGTCCAGGATCTTCTTACTACCGAGGCCAGAGCGCTCGAGAACACCGGGGGTCCCGCAGGCGCCGCATGACACGACCACCATCTTCTTTGCCTTGACGCTCCGGACAGGTTGTTGTGTGGTATTCAAGACGGCCTGGTAGTCTGAGTTGGGAGTGTACTCAACTCCGACAGCGCGCTTGTGATCGTCAAAGAGGACGCGGATCACCTTTGACTCGACCAAGACATGAAGGTTCGGGTGTTTTCCATCCTCGAGAAGTGGGTGCAGGAAGGTGTGTGCCGCATCCTGTCGTCTGCCATCGGGGGAAACGTATCTCATCCACCTCTCATAGCCGTTGTTTGCCTCTAGATTCTGCAAGTCCCGGATCTCAGGGTAGCCAGTCTGCTTTGCGGCGGCCAGGATGTCATCCTCTGCACGCTCAACACGGAAGCCTCCCGAAGACACATGCACCGGGCCAGAAGACCCGTGGTGGGCCGGGTCTCCGTTGCCGTGGTACGTCTCGAAGCGCTTCAGGTATGGCCACAGGTCTGCCGCAGACCAGCCGGGCGTCGCCCACGAGTCAAAGTCGGACTTTTGGGCACGGGTGTAACTGGAAATAGCATGACTCGTTAGCTTGGTCCATGGAGGGTGGGACGTCGATCGTCGTGAGAGAGAGTCAGAAGGGCTCATGTGCCCCGAGCTAGAATGGAGCTACCCCAACTTTTTTCTTTCCATCCCGGTGCTAACTGCCGCCCCCGCATCCGGGGTACGGGATGAAACGGTCCAGGCAGAATGGATCGTGGGGGAGTGGAAATGGGGTGGGTGAAGGAGGCGAAGCTGGGGAAGTCTCATCGGATGCCGGGTTGAGACTGCGAACTTGAGGGGGGGCTAGAGATCCGAGAGAGTTGAAGAGGGAGGAGGGGGCATTGAGGGGAGGGGAGGGGAGGGCCAGAGATTCGGTAACGTACAGCATAAAGTTAATCGAGGAACCGCCACCGAGGATTCCTCCAGCCGGGACAATGGGACCACGGCCTGCCAGCTTGTCGGATACGTTGCCCTGGTAGAAGATTGCGGTCTTGCTCGTCGGGGCAAGGTGGTCGAGGAAGAAGGCTGGATGGACGACATTGGGAACATCGCGGTTGTTGGTGCCGCCTTCAATGACGAGAATGGATAATTGAGGGTCGGCGGCCGCGAGACGACCAGCGAGAACGCAAGCTGCTGTTCCACCTGGAATTGAATAGTCAACACATAATTGAGGTTCTTCGGGGAGTAGGAGTCGTGATGCGTACCTCCAGCAATGATCACGTCCACCTCTGTGATATCATCAGCCAGTTTGCTATAGAGACCCATGGCTACGGTATCGCGCAAAGTCAATGCGAACTCAATTGAGGAACAAAAAGATTTCAGAAACACCCGCACGTTGGGGTTATTGAGTGTGTTGAACAGAGAGTCGGGATGAAGCAACCAGCACGAACGAGCGGCTCGCGGACCGTGATGGTTACTCTGCTTTATATATGCTTCTCCGCACGCCACGTCGCAGCGTTTGGAGAACAATCCACAGGGCTGTTACGCACGCTCGGGCGGAATGCAAGCAGGGTGTATTCCGCCGAGATTCCGCGTTGCGCTGATCTATTGACAAAAGAGAGACAGAGGCCTACCTATTCGTAGAGGAGGGGGCCCTTGAAGGCTTGGGGCTGCATTTCGAGAAGCTCGAGGGGCCACATGGCCGCACAGATGGCGGCGAACACGTCGCAGGTTGCGGACAAGCGGAGGGGCTACTGAAGGCCCCGATGTGACCAGAAGCCTGAAGAGGAGCTAGTTATCGGGTGCGGGGATGGGATGGCAATGATCCATAGACACATAGAGATGCAGATGCAGTGATTGTGCAGAAACGGCAGACAAACTAGACACAACAGACTTAACAGAGTACGGATGTTGATGTTATGTTGCACTAGGCAGGACAACTATGGGGCGAAGTTGATACGGGGAAGCATGTCTGAGGTGTGGGCGCTTAACCGACCCAGCCAATTGAGGTTATTTGATTTACCAACTTGGCTAGGTACAACTCCAGGGTTCCCCAACACTATGAGGGACTAAGTGGGCTGCTCCAGTTCGCTCCATGTTTTCCGGATGGCGCAGCTGGCAGCTTTGAGTTCAGGGCTCGTCGGCTGGTCTCTTCTAGTGGCTTTTGGCAAGACAACTTCGGACTCGGGCACGAATTCTTGACTTATACAACGAGCCTAGGTCCTAGAGGCATTCATACGCCATATGGAAGTCTTCTGACTCGTCGGGGAGTTAAGCGTTGAGGAGGGATGCATCAAGTGTGTGTCGGGATGGGGTCGTTGGCGGACGATCATGGGGGGAAAAGAGGGGACCAAAGATGCGGGGAAAGATCACTAAGAATAATCTGGCGAGGGGACGCAAATTTCATAATGTCGATTTCCTGTACCGGGGAAGAATAGGTTCTAGAGGATCATAGACAGGAAGACATTGAGTGGTTCCCTCAGTGCCGCTGAAGAATCAAAGATGATCGTAGACTGTCAGTGACAACGTCGTACTCGTGGGTCGCCCAGGGACGTTGCTGACTAGATGCGTGCCGCAGCCTAACCTCTGGATGGGGAATATTCGGATGATGTGTTACCCAACTTGGTCTCTTCGTTCCCATCATCCCAGGTCCATCGCAACTGTTGGCTCTCAGTCATTGAGCACAAGGTTTGAAATGGGACTTTGGTTTTCCCATGCTACGATGTGCTTACTCACTACTACCTGAGCAGGGCGAAGGGGCCGTTAGCTTTGAATACAAGGATGCGTTGACCCGCATTGGCGATGGAACGTGAACTCGAGCTAGAGTCACCGCAACTTCAACCACACCACCAAGAGTCTCAGTCTCTCAAGTAGGCAATTGCAATTTAGGTAGCAGATATTAGTTGAAGTCGGAATTGTCATTACAAAAACTTGACTACAGTCGTAAGAAATCATTCCAATAGTCCCAATCCAAGTTTGCCGAATCAGTGAGTCCCAGCGGGTCAAGAGTCTGAAAGTCTGCCGCTGGCACCTGTGGAAGTGGCGCAGGTTTTTGTTGCCTCTGTTCCCGAAGCAACTGAATATACCGAGGCGGATTATCGGCTTCATGACTCCCCTGGACGTTGACCAGCTCTCTCCTCCTAGCTTCCCAAGCTTCCAATGTCAGGTCCCCGAGAGCCACATAAAAGGAACTTTGCGTGTTCTCAACCAGCTCCGGATGATATCCGTAAAGACTCTCTATGAGCTTCCAAGCCAAGGTGACCCGCTCACCAGAGACCCTCTTGCGGAGATCACTGAGGATATAGATGTAGACATCCACGGTGAATTTCGTCGTCATATGCGCGATGAAGTGCGAAGAGAACTTGCTGCTCATAGCAATCTCCATCATTTCCAGCCAGGTCACACTCCAGTCAAAGACTAGGTCACCCTCCTCGCGCGTCATGAAAACCTCTCCGTTGCTATTAGCCCGGCCTCGCGGGCTGTGGACCTTGCACCGGAAGCGAGCCAGTGTGAGCCTCGTCATGGTATATACTAGAGCGTGGAGAGGAATATTCCTGTCCAGGTGTCGAATGAACTTTTCATGATAAATGGCCTCAATCTCGTTGATCGCGTCATCTTCCAGCTTTGATGGGGGCTTGTCTTTCCCAGGACCGTGGATAATGACATCAAAGACCTTGACAGCTCTACTGGAAGATCTGATAATATTGAAGGTCTCAAACTTCATCAACACGCAGAGCATTTCTGTTGCGCCCGGGTGTTCCGGTGGTAGCTCCGTCATTTCCGGATGCAAGTCCGCGTCATTGACGTTTAGCGGGAGGCGGATGTCGCCGAACTCACTCTCGGATGGTGGGAGTCGCATGCCCGCAACTTTAACGATTCTCACTCTAGAATCCAACCCGTTCAACTGCCACCATAGACGTATACGCATTTCGGTCTCGAATACCGATACTTTTGGATCCGGCTTCGGCCTGTTCAGACCCATCTTCTGGCTGATCCTAATGGCGGCGCCAGTAAGAGTAGACGTCAACTCCGAGTCGGGGTCAGAGAAGAGAAAGAGAACAAAAGCTTGCAAGACCTCAAAGTCTCGCGTGGTGAGGAAGTCGGCTGCTATGAGAGCACGCAGAGCGGCTGTCCGATAGCGCAGTATGAGCGTGCTCCTGGCTTCGCCAAAGGTAGCCTGGCAGCCTTCAATGGACGTGGAGGTGACAGCCAGGGTGTAGATGGTGAAAAGAATGGCTGTGAGCGGCTTTGATGCACTGGCCGGGTTCCAACTTGCGTCAAGGATCTGCTGCTGTAGGGTCGGCACATGGATGATCTTCAACAATGGGTTGACGGCCTCGACAAAGATCTGCCAAAATCGGTAAATGTGCCTCGGGTCTGGGTGGAGCTGGGAAAGTTCGGGCTGAACGGTCGTCATCAAAACGTGAAGCGATGGCGTTGGGATATGCAGAGGGTCTTCTCTTCTAGTCAGACACTGGACGGGCGGGTATATGAGCTGGTGATAGAAGTCAGACCTAAGTCGTTTGTTTTAAAGCATAGCAACTCTTACCTCTGTCGGGAGAGTCGACCAAAGACAACTAAAAACATCTAATCAGCAAGTGACACCTTTTTCAACTCCGTCCTAACACTGACCGTTCTGTCGACAAGGGAATACCCTTCAACACCTGAGTCGTAGAGCCCTGGTGATCGAGCGGAGGCGTCGCAGAGGATATCGCCTCAGACTTATCCTGCTTAATCCGCCCTTGAGGCCCAGACGTAATCCAACCATGAGAACACGGCGAAAAGTCGACATTGTGCTTCCGCATCAAGTCCTCGTATGCGGCCAAGCGCGCAAGAAGCTCCTCATCAGCGGCGCGCTTACGAGGTCGAGGTGGAGCAGGCCCTTCGTAGAGACATTGCGCTTGTGCCTTTGTGCAATTTGAACATGGCTCAGCTTTGTCACATTTGATCTTTCTCTTTGCGCAGAGCGAGCATGCGTGCTTATGCTGCCCTTGGAGGGCTGTCGGTTGCGGGGTCGTCATGGGCAGTATTTTTGAGAAATGAGAGACGAGTTGCTTGAGGCGAAATAAGTATCCATGCATATTTGATTGATTGATTTTCATAAGATACTCGGACTCTTCCCGGACTTTTAGAAAATGTCCGGTACGGTTGTGAGGTTACTTGTGGTGAAGGATGCGCGTCGGGATGGCGCGAAGGAAGATGTCGGGGCTCTCGGGTCTCAAAGAAGCTTAGCGTTTGCTCTCGGCCTCCGTCTGGAGAATTGCTCGATTCTTAGTATGAGACTCTCTGTTGAGTCTAACCTCTTTTGGATATTGCGGGTCCGAGATGTCTGGGAGGATCGACGGTCTAAACCCAAGATGCATCAATAATGGGCCTGCGATGGATTGTTTTTGCCGTTTTCCGACAACGGACTTTTCAAATGTCAGTCTCTGGAACAAACTACTTCCCTTGCACATGTATAAAGAAATGGCATCCCGAGGTCTTGGCTTCTCGTCTCTTCACCTCAACAGCCTCAACCTCACTTCTAGTCTCAATCACTTGGTCCACCTAATATCTAATACTTTGATCTGATCAAAGTACTTTGCGTCTGGTACCAAATCCGCCAAAACTCAGATCCCAGTATCCTAACACGTTCTGACGTCGACAAAACTTTCAATATGGAAACTACATCAAGCACACATCCCGAACCAACACCATCCCAAGACAACGAGTCAAGAGCTTCGACTATTGCTGAGCCATCGCTAAACAACGATGGTACCAAGACCGAGAAGAACATCTCAGAAAAGCTCGAGGATGGAGGAAAGTCTGCCGATGACACAGAGTATCCGACAGGACTCAAGTTCGCCTGCATCATGTCGTCTGCCTTCATGTGCATGTTTTTGACTTCCTTGGTATGTTAACCTTGTACTATTACACCACGTATACTCGGGGACAAGAACCTAACGAGACCGTTTGACAGGATCGCATGATTATCACAACAGCCATTCCACAAATCACCGACGAATTTCATTCCGTTACCGACATAGGCTGGTACGGATCGGCATATCTCCTCACCCAGTGCGCTTCACAGCTTCTCTTCGGCAAACTCTACACCTTCTTCAGCGTCAAGGGCACGTTCCTTACTTCCCTTTTCCTCTTTGAAGTTGGATCCGCAATCTGTGGCGCGGCACCAAACTCGGTGTCATTCATCATTGGAAGAGCAATCGCTGGACTTGGTGCAGCTGGTATTCTCAGCGGTGTGGTAAGTCTCGAATCTGATATCCCGGAGTCAAATCTTGGTCTAATTAGCAATTCTCCAGGTCGTCATCATCGTGCACGCCGTCCCGCTTCGCAAACGTCCCACGTATCAAGGCTTCTTCGGTGCCATCTTCGGCGTCTCTTCCGTTGTCGGGCCTCTACTTGGAGGCGTCTTCACCTCAAAGGTCACCTGGAGATGGTGCTTCTACATCAACCTCCCCTTAGGAGGCTTGGCAGGCATCATCATCTTTTTGATCCTTGCCATTCCTGACAGAGATACCACAAAGCTTGATTTGAAGTCCAAGCTGGCGCAGCTTGACTTCTTTGGTACCGCTCTGCTTATCCCTGGATCAGTGTCGCTGATTCTGGCCATGGAATGGGGCGGCTCAACATATGCTGTAAGTTTCCATTTCCGGGAACTATCTGGTTCCAATTCTGACCACGACTCTTAGTGGAATAACTGGAGAATCATTCTTTTATTGGTGCTCGCAGTCGTACTCCTCGCCGGGTTCGCTCTAGTCCAGGTCTTGATGCCCAAGACAGCCACACTCCCTGGCAGAATCTTCAAGCAGCGCAGCATCCTAGCAGGTGTCTACGCTACCATCTGCAACGGATCACAGTTGATGATCTTTTGTAAGTTACACAAATAGCATAGACCGCGCGCGTTACTCAAACTAATGGAAACTCAGCCTACTATCTACCAATCTGGTTCCAGGCTATCAAAGGCGTTTCAGCTGTCGAGTCCGGAATCCGTCTCCTACCCCTCATGCTCTCAATGGTAGTAGCAACGCTTATGACGGGCGCCCTTGTTCGTCGCATCGGCTACTACACACCATTCATGATCGGAGGTATCTGCCTTATGGCTGTCGGTGCTGGTTTGATCTACACATTCGAGGTCGACACTGACAGCGGCAAATGGATTGGCTACCAAATCATCTACGGATTCGGCTTGGGCTTGTCAACACAAGCACCAAACCTCGCAGCTCAGACAGTCTTGCCGAAGAAGGATGTCCCGGTGGGAATCTCCCTAATGTTCTTTGGTCAGCTCATTGGAGGAGCCATCTTCCTCGCCGTCGCTCAAAACATCCTCAACACCCAGCTGCTTGAGCGACTCTCTTCGGTTCCAGGGCTTGACGCCCAGAAGATTTTAGACAACGGTGTCACCTCTCTGACGAATCTTCCCGCCGCCGTCAAGGCTACGGCTCTGATTGCTTACAATGAGGCGATTAGGCATGTATTCCTGGTTGGCCTGGTCCTCGTGTGTCTCGCCATTTTTGGTGCTTTGACATTGGAGTGGAGGAGCGTCAGGCAGCCTGAGAACAACAAGAGCGGCAGCAAGGCATAGGGATGTTATTGATAGTTTACAGATAGACGCATGGATAACATTACAACACGCAAATCGCTCAGACACTTCCAGCGTTTTCATTGTCCTCATTTGGTTCAGCATCCCGATAACATTACCATGAACACGTGCATGCATCCTTGCAATGTCCACAATAACTTGGTTTCGACACAAATCTTTAGGCGTGCCGAGAGATATTCAAATGTGAAGCCCAAGCTGTGATGGGCTACTCTAGCCACATTCTCGGAACATCTGTGAATGACCACACCATCGCTCTTCATCGATAGAATGATGCAATCCCTCACCGCGCGGTATGGAACGGGCATGATTGGGTAGGTTTCGCCTAGCCTTCCCCCTTCGGGACTCCCGACCGACATCCGAGCTATCAGTCCGGAGCCCCGGCGAACCAAGTGGGGCATCCGACACGGCCTCGCTTGCCGGAATCCTGGAGTCATCTTCTCGAGTGGAGTATTGGCCCGAACTCGTGGTTGGTGGGGGACCGTCTTGCAATGGCGTGCTTTGCTAATGGAGGATATAAGGTTTTCAGAAAGATAGCAAAGAACCTGGCAACTGTGATGGTTGACTTTCATAGTACGCTCAGTATTTCGCCAAGTATCGCGCATTGTCGTCAAGATGGTCACAACGGCAGCCTCCTTTGTTGCCTTGGCACTTTGCCAGCTTATTCGTATCAGCTGTGCTACAGCTGTATCCAATGGATCGGTTTATCTCGACTCAGCACGCTCTCCTACAGAGCGAGCTGATGACCTCTTGCGTCTTATGTCATGGGAGGAAAAGATCGGTCAACTCGGAGGTTAGTCGAAAAGTTTGCGAAAGCCGGGCTGTGTTAGTAATCTGAATACGCAGGGATAAGACGACTTGCTGAGACAGTGAACGGCAAGGTCTCATACAACGAAACATTGTTCGAAGAGATCAGGAAGACTCAGAATGGACAGATCGGTGAGTGAAACTTGGCAATCCTACATCTCGGCGCCAATATTTAACATGTCATAGGCTTCGGAGCGCCTCAGAATTTTGCACAAGATCTGTTACCGATTGCCAACAAGGTCAGAGCCGATCAGATCAACAACACGAGATTGGGCATTCCATACATCACAATCGCAGACTCTGTCAGTGGTCTTATGATTTCAGGGGGGACTCTGTTTCCTGGCGCCCTTTCCATGGGCTCGACCTGGAACATCCCTCTTTACGAGCAAGCTGTAGCCGCTATTCGGGATGAAAACGTGGCAATGGGCACTCGTTGGGTATTATCGCCCGAGGTTGACCTTGCTAAAGATCCCAGGAATGGCAGAAACGGCGAGATGTAAGTGCTTTCGAACCGTGATCTGATTTATTCCTAACAAAGATTTATAGGTTCGGAGAGGATAGCTACCTCGTCGGCGAGTTTGCCACGCACTACATCAACACGATGCAGGAGAAAGATGAGAACGGCTTCATCAAAGTTGCAACGACAATCAAGCACTGGGTTTACGGCTCCAGTAGCGGAGGTGTTAACACTGCAAGCATTCAGAGTGGCCTGAACTATATCCTCAATGACTTTGGAGCTCCCTATATCAAGGCCTTCAGAGAGGCAAACCCCTTGTCGCTGATGATATCATATGCCAGCGTCGATCAGATCCCCATGTCCATGAACAAGTACCTGAACAGAAAAGTTCTTCGAGAGATGCTCGGCTTCAAAGGTCTCATCATGTCTGACGCCGGTTCGATTCGCAACATGTACACTCAGTCAAAGGTTGCCAAATCGTTTGCGGACGCCGGGCTAAAGGCTTTGCGGGGCGGGCTGGAGCACGAACTTTCACCGAGGCCGCCTTCTGTATTCCCTACACTCACTGACTATTCTAACAATACCGAGGTTGTGGACCTTGTCGACAGCTCTGTCCGAGCGATTCTCGAGATCAAATTCGCCACCGGGACCTTTGACCTGTCTCTTCCCTCGGTCGAGGATTTGAACGCGACTCTTCGCAGCGAGGAGCATCTTGGGATCAACCGCAACATCTCGCGCGAAGCAATTGTGTTGCTTCAAAATGATGGCACGCTGCCGTTGCAGCGCAGCAAAGTGTCACACATTGCTCTGCTGGGACCCTATGCAGACATTCTCAACACCGGCCAATATGCCGCCAACAACGCCTCAGATTCGTCCTATGGCGACACCTTCCGTCGTAGTCTAGAGCGAGAGATTGGGGCGGAAAACGTCAAGTTTGTGGCGGGAGTCGATATTCTGCGCACGAATGATAGCTCAGGCATCGAAGGGGCTGTCAACGCAGCCAAACAAGCGGGCCTTGCTATAGTGGTCCTCGGTTCCGGCTGGGGATCCTTTGACAACTCCTACGAGTCTCTCCACCGAACCGATGGTGAGGGCTTCAGTCATCCTCACTTGGGCTTTCCTGGGTTGCAACAGCAGCTTCTCGATACGGTAATTGATGCCGGCGTGCCGACCGTATTGGTGCTCAGCGGAGGGCAGACCTTCCTGCTAAACGAGTCAGCCAAGAAGGCCAAAGCAGTCATTCACACTTGGCTTGCCGGAGAATTCACCGCTGACGCCTTGGTCGAAATCCTCTTTGGAAGTGTCAACCCGAGTGGCAAGCTTCCAATCACGTTTCCGGAAGCCGATGGCGCGTTTCCTGTGGCCTACGACTACTTTCCGTCGGATGATCAGGGTGGATTCGGGGCGGCAACTCAGTATGATTGGCACTTGCCAGAGCTGACACGCTATGCTCCTCTGAGGTTTGGCTTCGGTTTGAGCTACACGACTTTTAACATGTCTTCCATCTCTATCCAATGCCGTTCAGCCGGTGACAACGGCACTGTCAGTCAATGTGACAAGAACAGCCAGGTCACAGTCTCTGCTACAGTCACGAACACGGGACCAAGAGATGGCCAAGAGGTGGTGCAGCTCTATTATCGTCCAGAGTACAGCCAGATTGAATTCCCGGTTATGAAGCTCATTCGCTTTGAAAAAGTTGAAGTCGCAGCAGGCAGTTTCAGAAAGATAAGCTTGAATGTGCCTTACGCGGAGTTGGGTTACTTCGTCGACGGGGAGTGGCAAGTCGAAACAGGGCTGTACAACTTCTGGATTGGGAGCAGTTCGAGGACCGAAGATCTGCAGAGTTTGAATGCAACTTTGGTTTAGAATAATCATTGGATATTTTGTCGGGGTGTTGGAACTCAAGCCACACAATCGAAAGCAGAAGCGATCGTTACATCTAATTCAATAATAAACTTTCAAGCAGTAATATTGCTGCGGCTCGTTTACATATGGATTTCAGAACATCTATTGACCGTGAAACCTATTGGCTTTTAGAGTCTAACTGTCACCGGGGCGGGAATCGAAACCCATTATGGAAGTCTACTTCCATGTCCGTCTGTAACTTTGCGATAAGCTCCGGGCTCAAGAAACTTCTCCAGGTGAAGACTTGGTCGCACATTGATGTAGGTCGACCTCCACGCCTGTAGTCACCTGGTTCATTATATGAGATGCAAATTTCCAAAGCCTTTAATTTCTCTTCCTCCCAAATTGCTAAGCCCAATCGACGGTACGGCCAGAATGGTACTCCACGGATGGGCGAAAATGCATTTTTCACCAGTCTGGTTATGTAGAACGTCCATGTCGGTGGCTGGAGCCTTGACATTTCCTCTCGTGACCATCTGGAGTCTATCACTCCTGGCAAAGCTGGATCTTGCCACTTCTCCACGCAATCGTAGCTTTTCGGAGGGGCCGGGAAACGCCGAGAGTCTGAGGAGAGAACTGGGCTGCCTTGGACATGATCCACGAAGTCCACAACGGTGAGAAACTCCTCCCTCTGCCAGGTCCAGCCTTGGAAAAGAATGTCAGGGTCGACATGTCGGTTGCTGTCTTCCAGAGGCCAATTCAAGCGTTTTTCGGAGATTGCGAGATTCAGTTCAAATAACAGCTGCAATCTCCAGAACCCACGCATAATGCGTTGCTCCTCCATCCAACAAGCCGGTCCAATGGGTTTTGGTTTATAAAGCTTTCCTCGGGGATTCTGACGCCATGGTTTCTCATATCCAGTGCCATAACGGAAGGGGCTTTCGAGATGAGCTGGTGACACTAATGACCATTGATTGCGATCATGTTCCAGACATGCCCATGTCAGGCAGCAGATGCTTCGTGCAGTCAATAGAATGCCCCTGACAAGCTGAGGAGATTGACCTCGAAGTGATATCGCAAGATCTGGTGCCATTGCGACCGAGGGGCGAGATGAATCCGAGCGACCTAGGCATTTGGTGTACATTTCGACAAAGTCCTGGAGCGAAGATGCCGGTGCGTGGTTCGACGTCGCAGTCCGGACTAGGCTGACAAGACAGATCAGCGCGACCACGTCGGGCGACATGGACCCGGAGAAGATACTGTCGAGCGCTTTAGGTCCTACTTGTGAAGACACAAAGACCCGAGAGGCTGCCGGGCTAGCCACGACGAGATGGTAGATTGATCGAAGGTCAGTGATGGAGAGGATAATCTGTTCGAAGACCTCAGCCGGAAGACAATCGAGATCGACAGTGACCGATAGGCGAGGCGTCATGGTAAGGTGAGATTGCCTCACAAAGCAAGAAAGTATGCATTTTAGAAGACGAACATCGTACAAATTAGTTTGATCATTTATAGTGAGAGGGCCGTATCTATAATCTCATAATGAATGGGCCATCATCTCGGAGCAAGCGATATCCTATGACAGAAGTGAGCAATTTCACCTAGGCGCTGCGGCAAAACTGAGATACTCAGATTCAGTATCTCGGTCTTAACAAGGATAGAATGCAACGCCGATTGAGTCACTATCCTAAAGGGGTTGCCGTTGGATCATGTTGGAGAGATTTGAGTGCGAACCAATCATTGAGTACCTTTGTTGCCAGGGATGCAACACCAGAAGCACTAACACCTAGCATGGTTGATTATTCCCTGCGGTATAAGGCTTTTGCGCCGCAGTACTTAGACACATCGCCCTAAGATGGTGAAGCTCACATAACGATCAAATCAGAGTTGGCAGAGAGAACTTGACTAGATAATTGTATTGGGTAAGGTAGTTGAGATCAGGTTGCTAGAGCCTTTGACCATCTGAACGATGGTTCTACCAAGTTTCCACCTGTTAGAAGTGGGGCAACCATGATGGGTATCCGAAGCGCGCTGTCTGCGTGACTATGAGCTTGTGCATCACGAGATGAGATAATAATGGCTATGTTGACATACACGCTGATAGCTCGATATTCAGTCGAAGCCCGAGGAAGTCGTTCACTTCTTGCAGCAGCCGTCAAGCTCGCACTCCACATTATTGTTGGGCTTGCCGGGGCAGAAGTTCAGTCTATCGCAAGCGCCGCAGTCAACACCACGGCGACCAGGCTGGCTGAGTGCAGGAGGGACATCGGTATCGAGAGCAACGGCGGCGACGGAAGCGACGAAGAGGATGACGGCGGAGAACTTCATTTTGCTAGACTTTAACCGGAAAGTCTGGTTTAGTAATTATGTTAGAACTGATTGATGATATAGTCGAGTAAATGAAATGATTGAGCGCTGGAGATGATTCGTTTTCATGTTATCTTGGCGGATTCCTCAAGATATTTATTCTTTTTCGCCTTGCCCGACACTTTGATATTCACATTGTCTTCGCCTTTTTCCTCCAAATCACCATCGCGGTCCTCTTCTTGTTGAGTCATGTCAACAGGGGACATGAGACGGTGCCTGACATGTACATTCTTGTCAACCCAGAGAACGGGAACGCCGTGAGGCCGGACTGAAACGCAGAAAGGTTACAGAGGAGAGGGGCCTTGACAGAACAACACATAATACTAAAGAATGGCTTAAGTGACCTGCGGAAAAAGATAAACTCTATTTCAGCTCCACGAACCGCCTTCTTGGTGGCTTGGATGTCACTTCCCACGCTACTGGGTTCGATCATATTGCGCGCCTGGTATGAGCAAGTATCGCGTGGGGCGTGTCACATCGTCGTCTTTGCTCTATGCGTAAGCGCAGGCCCCAACTTCTACAACTTCCTATTGGTTCCTTTTTCTTTATGCCAAAGTTTAACACACCAAGCTCGACCTTGACGAGAAACAGAGAGTTTTCATATTCAGGAATGGTAACAGGAGCCAGAAGTTCATACTCGGTTAACATGTTTGCTGCCAACACCAGTAAGTGAGTCCAAATGCAAGGGTAGATTCTTGCTAGTCAGACGTCTCCACCAGTTTCATCAGAACGGTGCCTCGTCAGACCGGCCGCCCGCAGCTATCCGAACTGCGGACGTAGAAACTCTGCTTCTTTGCGGGGTACGCATCCCGGACCTGCTGCCGTCACTATCCGAGTCTAGAAGCTGCCTCTAGAGCCTAGGGCGTTCGCCTAGTCATGATTGGGGACAACCCGGAAGCAGACATGGAAGAGGAATAATCGTCTCCGTCGTCCTCGTCGGTAAAGTCGGCTTGTCTCAGCAGACTGTGGATTGCCAGTCTCTGTCTCGCTTTTGCTACCTCTGAAAGTCGCTGTTCTAGATTCCGTCTTCCTTCTTGGAACTCTGGCGACGATAGCCCGCCTATTCCAGCTTCTTGTGGTGCATGGCCGCGGGAAAGTCGCTCCATATCGTCGATGATGGGTTTGACCAGTGCGGAAGAAGGGAAGAAACGCTGAAGCGCAGCCAGACACAAAGCCGCGCGGCTCAGTGCAAACTCTGGCGAGGGACAGCCCGGTATTCTTTGTGCTCGGGCTATGAAAAGCAAGAGCCTTGTCGCGTGGTAGGCACAAATTGCCATGTCGAATTCGAGAAGCAGGTGTTCTCTGCTGTTTTGGTTGAGACTGGTCAAGATCTGGATGATGGCGATGGCATGTTTGAGGCAGTTTTGTTCTGCCGCGGTGATGTAGTCCATGTCTACCGCCTCGAGAACCACGCGAGGTGCTGCTTCGGGATACCCTGAAAGCAAGATTCGGTACAAATCGCAATAGGCTTGGTGGAATGAAATGTGCGTGAATAATCGTCTTCGTAGCCATCGGTCATTGTCAGGGGCTTCAATATTGACAATAGAAAAGTCCGTTCCGTCTGGCATCAGCGACCCGATCTCGCTTAAGTCGCTCTCGAAGTCGCCAATGAGTTTCGTCAGAGGCAGGAAAGGCTGATCGCAAAGAGTCACCCCTCTGGTCAACTTCATAACGTCCCTCCGAGTTATCTCCAGTCTCACGTAGAGCCTATAGGAGCTCCCATCACCAGAAACCCCATCATTACTAAAGTCATTCTCCGCCGAGGGATATTGCAGGTATATCGTTTCGATGGGACACGCTTCAAACTCAGGCAAGCCAACCGAGAAGTACCTCTCGGTGATCTTCAGCGACCACATAATCCGACGGCGAATTTCCTGCGCGACAAAGTCGAGATCAGGTCTCTCATGGTTCAGTCGCATGGCAGCTGCAAACCTAGCCGCAGTAGCCGTAAGCATGAACGCTCTCTGGAACTTTCCAGTTTCCATCTGATAATGAATCACGAGCAGCAGGGCCTGCAGACGCGGTATGGTAGGGCTCTCCAGGTTCTGCCATATCTTTTGCTCCGCCGTCTGAACCCACGACGTGGCTCTGTCGCGAGTCTGAAGATCCGAACCACAGTGAAGGGTTGCCAAAGCACAGATGGCGTGTGCCAGGGCCGAGTCAATCCTCCCCTCTCGACAACGCTCCCTGGTCGTCTCGGGGTGCAGAAACGCATGAGATGGAAGAGGGTAAACCTTCTCGAAGAAGCTTTCCACGGCACCGGAGAGGAATTGGCCGAGTTCGACCCCGCAGGACTCGTCTCCCTCGGTCGAGGTGCTCTGCGGGGAAGATGCCCTCGCACTTCGTACCGGCGTCGGGTAAGTGCACTCTCTAGCATGCCGCGCGCAGTTTGTGCATCGCGGCGATGTGCCAGAACAGCGGACTTTCTTGTCTCGACAAGCTTTGCAAGCTCGAGTGCCTCTGAGGCGTCGCGGCTTGGCGGAGATCGATTGTTGCTGTCCTAAGTGAGAATCCGGCTGTCTTCCAACTTCCTCGATGACGGCAAGGGAACAGTCGAGACCAAGACGAGCACACGTTCCGCAGCGCAGTTCACTTCCACTTTCGCACTTGACCTGATTCACGTCAGCTCATGGCCACAGACCAACGGTGAGATTGCAGCGGACTGACCTTGCGCCACCGGCATTGAGAACAGGTCTGACGCGTCGTGCTTGGGCCAGCTTGAAAGCAGCCAACGAAAGAGTCCATCATGTTGTTGTCGAAACTTTGGCATCCTGGCACTTCATTGTCGTCCTCGTCTCATGTTGCAGCGCCCTGCCGCAACTCAGCGTCGTTCGGTTCCGTGAGTTTGCAATAGAAGTTGATGATATTCCTATGCCATAGAAGTTGTAGCCGTAACAGGCATGATATGTCGGAGGAGTCGTTTGAGCCAGCCGACGGGATGGATGAACGTTGGGAAAAGACTGGATTCCGCCTTCTCACTTGACGTCCCTCAATTTCGGGACCGGGTTTCTTGAACGATTCTCCAGATCTGTCTGCAAAGTGCAAACATGAATGCGGAGGGAGTCTGCACTTTACCTACTCGAGCTAGACTGCCATGACGCGAGGAGTGGATAGGGTAACGACATCCAGGAATGGGCCTACGTGAGCCAATTACGGGAGTTGACGAGCAGTTTATCCTTGTTCACGTCAGCGAACCCTTGCTCCATGATTCTCTAATATGTCACTGCGAGGTTCTTCATGATCGCACCATGATAATTGACTTTAGATTCAGGTCATCCGATACGATAACGATTTGGATTTTGCTCGGAAATTTCTGGATCCCTTCCCATCATCAGGATGTTACCCCCGATCCTTCATCGTAGTCAACAACCCACGCTCATTCGGAGTACTATGTCCGTTGTGCTGCCTCACAATTTACTTGCCAAATCCACCGACTCGCCAACATCACCACCCCTCGGATGAACTGGCTCATCTCCAATTTGTTCCATCTTCAACTCTAGTAATCGTGTCATGTGCTTCACCGTCTTGGCATAAGCGGGATCGCGGTACACATTGAACAGTTCCAATGGGTCCTTGTCGCAGTCGAACAACTCCCACTCCTTATCCTTCTCCCCGCCCGGCCTGGCGCCACTCACATCCAACGGCTCGTTGTACCAGTAGATGAGTTTGTATCGCTGGTCTCTTACGCCATAATGCGCGTAGGCGTGATGGATAATGTCATTGTGCATCCAGTAACGGTGGTAGGCGATCTGTTGCCAATCTGCCGGTGTGTTTCCCTGAAGCAACTGGCGGAAAGATTCGCCTTGCATGTAGCTCGGGATATGGAGATTTGCGAAGTCGAGGAAGGTGGGCGCAAAGTCGACATTGCAGATGATGTCGTCGCATACGGAGCCTTTGGCGATTCCCGCCGGGTATCGAATGAGGAATGGCACCTGGAAAGACTCCTCGTACATGAATCGCTTGTCGAACCAGCCGTGTTCGCCAAGGAAGAAGCCCTGGTCTGAAGTGTAGATTACAATGGTGTTCTCCGCAAGCCCGTTTGTTTCGAGGTAGTCAAGCATGCGCCCGACGTTGTCGTCGACAGACTGGATAGTACGCAAGTATCGCTGCATGTACCTCTGAAACTTGAAATGAGCAAGGTCGTCCTGGCTCTTGAAGGTGAACACCGTCCCGTCCTCCTTATCAATCAGCCTCTTGGCATCGACGGGAATCTTGCGCTGGGCAGAGCCCGCCTCCTGAACGACACGCTCGCCAACCTTGTTGCCACCATCTGGCTGCACGAGGCCCAAATCCTGGTATGTCATGTCTTCAGCCACGCGCATCTTTGCAACCTTTGCAGCCTTGGCGCGGTTCTTGTAGTCGTCGTCGTATGTTTCGGGGACGCGTATCGGCTTTTTGTATAGGTCCTTGTGCTTCTCGTCGCACTCCCACGAGCGGTGCGGCGCCTTGTGGTGGCACATGAGAAAGAAGGGCTTGTTGGTGTCTTTCGTCTTGGAGATCCAGTCGAGACACTTGTCGGTGATGATGTCTGTAACATAGCCATCTTCGACCTTTTCGCCCGCTGGCTCAATGAACTCGGGATCCCAGTAATCCCCCTGCCCGGGGAGGACAGACCAGTAGTCGAAGCCGGTGGGTTCGTGTGGTCTGTCTTCGCCCAAGTGCCACTTGCCGACCATTGCCGTCCTGTACCCGCCGGTACGCATGTGCTTCGCAACGTTTGGTAAATGCTTGTTGATGTTGTCGTTCAGCGTCATGACGCCGTTGACATGGTTGTGGGTGCCCGTGAGAATGGCCGCGCGGGAAGGAGTGCAGATGGAGTTGGTGACATAGCAGTGGTTGAACTTCATTCCCTCCGCTGCTAGGCGGTCAATGTTTGGAGTGTGGTTGATGCCAGCTCCGTAAGCGCTGATGGCTTTGGAGGCATGGTCATCAGCCATGATGAAGAGGATGTTGGGCCTTGTGTTCGTCATTTTCATTCAATGTTTGCAACAGCGGATGGATACCGAGAGGGGGTTGAAAGGCGGAAGAAGCAAGTAAGACTTCACATGCAGTTATTTGAAGAGTTTTAATGACAATGAGTGACCGAAAGGAGGGGCATCCGATAAAGCTTGGGATAGCTCCAACCCTGCAACAAAGCCCCTCCAAAGCTATGCCCTATAATGTTACCCATTGGCAATGAACCTCCTGAGCTGCTCAAGTGATGTGGAACACGTGTTGAAGCGAATCGAGCATGGCATGTTACCCTGCCGAAGCATCTTCAAAAGGCATCTCTCGGAAAACCAACAGGAACGGAAGACCGGCACCCCTGTACACTACCTCACCGGAGCTTACCCCACACGCTCTCCCGGAGGCTTCGGTAGTCGGTCCGGCCTCCTAAACAGGTAAGTGGAGACGTTCACGGCCTTGAGTCCATCCCAGATTGAGCGTCCCGGCCGACTACCGGCATCCACATTCCCAGCGAAGAGAGGAAACACTCTGGGCCCTTATTGTTTGTCCATGGCTGACCCCAGCTCCTGGGGACAGGGGGTGTATGGCGTGCTGAAAGCATTGTCTCAATGGCTCGAGGAGTTCAATTGTTTGACCCTGCGATAGTCAGCCATTGGACACCCTGAATTGCGTGCTGAGCCGCCGACGACAAAATGGTTAGATCCTTTTTTTCTCTTATGGACGTTTTGTTTGTATCTCATTCGGAACATGGAAAATCATGAGTCTGGTGTCCAGCATCCAGGATGCGCCCCCGTACATAAGACAGCTCATAGCCGTTCGTGATCAGTCGACGGCAAGTTGATGAAACAAATGATTTTTGAGTTTCGATCCCTTACGAATCGCCATTCACAATGTCGAAACTCGGAACATTTCGAGCATTCTACCTCGTAGCTTTGTGCTGCGTCGGTTCTTTCTTATTTGCATACGACACTGGTATCATTGGTGGCATTCTTACCTTTGAGGGATTTCAGCAAGACTTTCGATATGGCCCGTCCCAGAAAGCCAACGTTGGATCTAACTCAACGAGTCTATTACAGGCCGGAGGTATATCACTCATTACCTTTACTTCATTTGAAGATCATCTGCTAACAGTATTGAATCACGCAGCCTTCTTCTCCTGCTTCTTCATCTGGCCCTTCACCGCGAAATACGGCCGAAGATGGTCAATCATCCTCGCCTCGATAATATTCTGCGCCGGCGCAATCGTCCAAACAATCAACACCCACTCCCTCGCCGCCTTCTACGTCGCTCGAGTTGTCAGCGGTGTCGGTGTTGGTATGGCCACCGTCGTGATCCCCATGTACTCAGCAGAGATGGCGCCCAAGAATATCCGGGGGATGCTCGGCAGCATGTTCCAGTTCTTCTTTACGATGGGTGTCATGACGTCCTACTTTGTTGATTATGGTGTGAGCAAACATGTCAAGTCTTCGACAAGGCAGTGGCAGATCCCTGTTGGCTTGCAACTTGTTCCTGGAGCGATTCTTGGATTGGGCATGTTGCTTTGCAAAGAGAGTACACGATGGCTGGCCAAAGCCGGCCGGAAGGAGGAAGCACTGCAGTCTCTGGTTTGGGTTCGGGGTGGCGATACGCCCGAAGTCCAAGAAGAGTGAGTTTCTCAGTTCCATGAAAAGTGACTTAGTCGTTGATAGAACCGCAGGTTTGCCGAGATTATTTCCAGTATTGAAGAAGAGAGGAACCAAAAAGAGGGGCTCACATGGAGAGAGTTGATCCGACCTGTCAACCGGCACCGCATCTTCCTTATCATTGCTTTGCAAATCGGTACTCGTCCAAAACAACACAAACCCCTTTGATCTGGGCTGACATAATCTCTAGGCGTTCAACTCACTGGCAATACATCTTTGGCTTACTGTAAGATCCGAGATACCATCCTCATCTTTCCTAAATCCTAAACACTGACACTTTCCATAGACGCCCCGCAAGTCTTCGCAGCCGTTGGTGCAGGCCAGAACAACCTCCTCATCACAGGCTTCTTTGGTCTCGTCAAGGTGGTGTCATGTCTCTTCTATCTTCTTTTCCTCGTCGAACGCATCGGACGCCGCGGCTCGCTGTTAGGTGGAGCATTACTGATGGGGACTTATATGCTCATCATCGCCTGCCTCACCGCAACCCACTCGCCCAAATCCGTAGACCAGGGTTTGACCTCGACAGCCATCGCTTCAATGACGATGATCTACCTCGAAGCCATGTCATACAACATCTCATGGGGCCCGGCACCATGGGTAAGTTTTTTGGCAGCTTCCTCCCCATTCGAAATATGATGCTGACTGAGATCTAGGTCTACATGGGTGAAATCTTCCCATCCCGAATCCGCGAAGCCGGCATCGCTATTGGAACTTCCACACAATGGCTGTTCAACTTTGTCTTCTCCCAGGCTACGCCACACGCCGTTCAGAATCTTGGGTGGAAGACCTTTTTGATGTTTTGCATCTTCAATTGGGCACTCGTGGTATTCGTTTGGTTCTTCATCAAGGAAACAAAGGGGAAATCTCTCGAAGAGATGGACGCACGTATGTTTATCGCAAAATGACCTCCAGCCAAAGGCTAATATGAATTTTCCAGTATTCTCGGGAACGTCTGTTAGGCACGACATAGAGAATTTCGTTGGAAAAAATGGTGAAGTGAGGAAGCCCAATCCGGTTCTCGGGAACATCAGTGAGAAAGTTCGGTGAGAGTAAGTGTCATATCCGGCATCATTCAAGGGCTACAATACGACCGCGACGAAGAATGTTTGCTAGAACAGTAAGTCGAGTCGAATGATACCAATATGAATTTTCAAAACTGCGCGCTCCCCTCAATGTGTGTCTAACGCAATCATAAAACCGTAATGTTCGCTGTTGCACCCAGTCCCTCTACAACTGACAGAAAGCCCCGCTGATGCCAATGTCCAATGATACCAAAAAGCTCCTCAAAACGTCTCGCATGCCGTATTCCAAGGCGCCATTCAGTCTCCATGTCACTACCACTTCATATTTTCTGCCGCATATGCGGATTGTTTGTCTTCCTCAACCCCCTCTGTCATCACAGTGACACCTAGCGGGCTTCTTGATCGTCCATACCGGGGGTATGGCATTGGAGAGCGCTGTCGATGGCGGCTTCGACTCTTATTCAAGGGCTCTCGGAGCATTTTGCGAAGGTTCTTTCGATTCCACTCGTGCCCCTCTTCCCACTCGCAAAACTCTTGCAGCTCGTGATAATGGTGCCAGATGCCCTCCAAAAACTCGACCGAGATGGCGGAAGGTCTTTTCTCCACGCTGGGACACTCCACTTGCTGTTGATTGTCTTTGTGTGCCATGGCAGATTCGCATGAGCCCTCGAGTTGTGCCGCTTCAAGCGATCCGTCGACTTCTCCCCGCTCCATATCTTCCCCACTCCCGACATTTTCGACGTGTTCGATGTAAACCCCTGGAGCGAACTTTTTTCCAACATTATCTTGGCCCGTTGTTGGTGGTGTGTCACTCATTGGTATTTCGGCTTCCGGCTGGAATGGGTTCCCTGAGGTCGATGTTTCTGGAACCGATGTGCCCTCTAGCTTGCAACTTTGAGTCTCTGGATCGGCTGAACTATCTACCATCTCTGTATCGCGCTGCCTAAGATCTTCAGCATCACCCATGGATACGTCTGAGCTGCTGCTGGGTCCTGTTCTCGGTGTGGTGCGGTTGTTCTGATCGGATCCGATTTCTGTGGCTGCAAGTAACCATAGGAGAGTATTCATATCTGAACGACGGTCCGCCGGGTCATTCTCGTCTGGAGGTTGATACACGAAGGGTAAACGTTCCTCGGGTTCCTTTTCTTTTCCTTTTTTCGAACCGTTTTCGGACTCGTGTACCGATGGATCATCCCAAAACTCCATGTTCTCTTCCGCACCCTCCTCCAGATCCCAGTCGGGATCATATGACACCTCTAGATTGGAGGCGGCAAACTCGGTTATCACCTCAGGGCTGGCTAGTTCCACCGCCCGTTCGAATGCATTTTCGAACATCTTGGCCTGTTTTCGGGCATCCCTGACTCGCATCGCACGCAATGTCGATGAGAACATGGCTGATTAAATTAAAGGCTGTATTCGGCGCGTGCATATAGATGCTTGAGGTGTCCACCTGGTGTTGGGGGGGTGAATTCGGGTGGCAGTCTGAAGACTGATGCGTGTATGGATGGTATGATGCTGAAAGCTGGACGTGGATGTCGTTGTTGGGCGACCACCAGGGAGCGTGGAACTGGAAGTTCGTCTGTTTCACTGGTGGTTTCCCAATATGAGAAAATAACTCTTGAAGAAATAGCGTGATTCAGTCTTTCCCGCAGAATGTTTGGTGGTGATGCTTCTTGCCTGGTGTTTGGCTGTTTGTGGGATGACTCCTTCCACCCAAGCAAACCAAAGTATTCCGCAAAGTTCAGGAGCACTGCTGACTGCCTTTTTCCCTTCTTACTGCAGAGGTTTGAGTTATTTGGTCAATATGGGTCTCATCGTAGTATGAGGATCCGCCTCATATACTTACTTACTACAAGCCTCACTTGGCTTATTGTAAGGTACTGACTGAATCACATTTGAACCTTCGTCCAAAGATTAGGAGTGAATATGTACTATTTAATCTGAACGGATTGAATAACTGTTTGCCAATACCCTCATCGCCTTTTCAACTTCGTCGCGTCTTCACTTTCATCACATCTCTGACGTGATGAGCTGATCAAGTGGGTAGTTGGCATTACATCTGTCCATTTGAGGTAGTAATGCAACATCTGTGTATGCTTTTCCTGGTAATATCTACTTTAATGTTTATATGGGAGTCACGAGGTGTTTGAGATTCAAGTGAAGGTGATCAGGTTCTCATTTGAACAGCTTCTTCTGACTCACGTTCTCAACTATCAAGGACATTTTGTACTCCAGTACAACGAGCTTGAATTCCAGTTGAGACCAATATTTGTAGCCTTAACCTAT